CTTCAAATTGTTTCTAGCATATGCTCGTCTCTCGTGTATATTCCCTGACACACCCTTTCGCTCGAGAGGGAACAAAAAAAATGAAAACCATAGGAAAGCTTGAAGGATTGCTTGCTTTTTCCAAGAAACCAAGTTCAAAAAGACAAGTTCAAAGGCAACCAAAATCAAGTTCAATCGATAACGTCCTTGATGAAATATAGTTCATTTTTTATCCAAATAGAGTTCATTACAAAATTGCAAAGAAGATGAAGATCTGAGCTCAATTGCTATTGACATGACTACACTCATGAGTATCAACAAGTTATCTACATGGGTCTACACACATAGTTGCTGCCTGTCCACGTTGTCTATGCACAATATCACGAATTATCCTTATTTTTTCTGCATCTATGAAAATGGTTAACTTGAATAAAAGCACCAGGACACAGATTGAAAGAATGAGGGCTATCGATACTCACTCCATACACTCATTATATCGTCTTGATCGTGTTCAGCATGAGTCCCACCTTCTTCGCACCCCTGTTGCATCTTAGACGCGGCATGCATATAAACAACTTCGTGTGATTGGTTGCCCTGCGTCATTTCCTGGTCGTCTGCATCTGTGTTTTGCCAGTTCTGCTCATCTTCGTTCCAATTCGCTTCGCCGTAATGAGCATTCCACTCGGCTGGTGTCTTACAGTTGAGCCCTTGCTTTTCTTGTTCTAAAGTTAGAAGATTGGAGCCATATTGAAAGCCCTTCTTCAACTCTGGAGGAAGGTCGGAGGGAGCCTCCTTACTCTTGTAAGTAGGTGCATGTGTAGTAAAAAGTAGATCCATAGCTTTCGAGTCTTGTCTTGAAATACTGCCCAGTACTCGTCGTTATTCGCGTCGGGCACGATGTATTCTCCGTAGTTGTCGTTGACTTGTTGCATCCTGTGTTCGATGACATCGCTCCACGGAGAATGAGCGGATAAGTAAAAGGAAGTGATTATGTATACAGAGAAGCAAGAAGCAGCTTCTCGCCGCAATAGTAGAGCCCTAATATTCTGAAATTGTAAACAATTTCAATTTTTTCATATTGATAAAAGAACAAGGAGGATAGAAATATCCATAAATAATAGGAGGGCCTTCGCCTCTTGCGACTCGCTCAGCCTCTTCTTTGGCGCGCCTGATATGACGAAGGTCTCGACACTTCTTTAGCTTTTGCTTGTACTGATTCGTTTCTGGGACTTCTGGCATTTTGTATTGTTCCCACTTTTCAGCAGCAAGAAGGCGTCGAGCGAAACAAGTTGTACAGGCATCCTGAAGCGGATGCGCTTTCGTGTCAACAACTTCGTCTTTTTGAAACTGTCGATCGAGGGTCTGCACTGTTAACCTGGAATAAGAACACAAAGTCGGAGGAGGAAATGCTTATTAATTCAATATATTCTAATCATGAAGAAGTAAAAAAAAAAGCTACCGGTTCGTGTAATGTCTTCTGCGTTCTCCGACGATGTGGACGGCCTTTGGCGGGTTGCTTAGACGCATCCAGGTCGCGAACGCAAGATGATTTTTAAATTAATAGCTTATTTTTTAACTAGGTGCTGCCTCTAGTAGAGGGCCTCCAAGTCCGACGCTTCATCTGTAAAGGAGTGGCTGATTATAATATAACTGATGATCGTAAGAGAAAATCTTCTGCCGGACCACAAAAGCAAACCGGTTTATCGAAGCGCACCGTTTTGTTCCCGAGCATTAGAATAGTACTGCAATTAATTGTCTCTCATTCTGGGAGAGCTTTTGAGGTTGAGTGTACTTGCTTCTAGAGTAGAACCACAACCATAAGACAAACTCGGTCTGGTTCATGGACACTGCAGATGGACGAACATGTCTTTTGATTGTCTGCGGAACGGTACACGTTTCCCAGTGACCTTAAAACAACAATCAAAAGAATGCTAGGCCATAACATAAAGGGCTCGCCACAGGTAAGCCCCAGTGAATTAGAAGAGAAGGAGAAATGTAGTTTTGGTTCAACGTAATACTTAATCGGAACAAATTTGATTTGCTATATGCCTTAAGAAATGTCCTTGTGTCCATTCCTCCCTTGCCCTGCTCTGCTTGCTTTTGTAGCTCCTCCATTCGATACTCATCTCCAACGAAAGCTTTCGTACCTTTCTCGCAAGAATGAAAGAAGCTCTAATAAACATGACAATGAGGATGCTACTTCAATCTAGTTAAGATTTCCTATTATTCTTAAGTCAAGTTTCGAAGTGAATTCGCGTTACCAGCTTGGCCAGGTGTCAGCTGGCACTTATCAGGTCCACCGGCAAGTTTTATCACCGGGTATATCATCAGCCAACTCTTACCGGAGTTACTGGGGCCACAAATGCAAGGACAAGTGTTGCTTTTTGAAGGTCCTGTCCTGGCTTGTGCTGCAAAGCTACGCAGGATCACATCGTAGTCGAAGTTCTCATTTTCCTCGATGATGTCTTGGGTGCACTGATTCCAGACACACGTGCCATCGCATGGACCCTGAGCCGCTAGCTCGATGTCTTCCATCAAGGTTCGTTTGAGAGCTGCTACTGCGTCGTCTGTAGCGCCGTCCCAGTCCTCTGCAGCTTGTAGAAATCGCTTCAGACTGCGTGTGTTGTTTGCATATAAGAGGAACCACAGAAATATTAGTATACATACATCATAGTAGTTTTTTGAATTAATTGGAGATCAGGAGAATACAGATAAAAGCTACTTGTTGCCGTAACTGTACAAATGTCTTTATCTCAGGTTCTTGTTTCTTCGCCCAGTTCATTAATTCGATCCTATCGGCCATCTTATTCGCGATGATAGCGTCGATAATTGTTGACTCTCCAATTTTGCATTTCTTTTCTGTTCTCATCCGTTCTCGCGCACGCTGATACCACTTTTCTGCATCGTAGACCTCTTGGCATTCGGAGAAGATGTCCTCTATCCCAAATGTATAAGAAAGAGGAGCAAGTTAGGGATTAAAGTGAAACTCTAGAAATATTCCACAGCCATTGAGACTTTGATAGCAGAGGTTAACATCTAATAAGATTACAGATAAGTAGGGGCAGCGCCTTAACTCCAATCTTGCTGGGTCTAAGAACTCGATCGATTTATGATCGTTCGGGTAGGTCGTGTACCGTGCTGCGGTGTTAAACTCCTCATGTGGAGTGACGTGGATGCCAAGCTTATACTGTTGCATCCAGTACTCCCGTACTTCCATCGCCAGCCAGGCTATCGACACTTCGTGTGATAACTGGTATGCGATATGAAAATGATCTTCAAAATCTGGATCGTCGTTCTCTGCGTCAGGGTCTTCGCTTTTGTCCTCCGCTTTCGAGTCTTCTTCTGCATCGTGAGGAGATTAGAGAGATCAATAACCAAATAGAGGCTATAACTTTGAGTAAGATAATAATTTCTAGTATCCAGTTGAGAAATATCTTTTACTACCATAAAACAAGTGATCGACCCAGCGAGCATCATATTTAGTAGTAGAAACAGTCTTGTCACCAGCAAGCTTTCCGAAATTCTGGAAGATTTCGTTAGGTTTGGCTCCACTACCACAAGCTTTACTACTAGAAGATGAAGAAGAAGCTGAAGGCTTTCCATCATCTAGAAGGTCATCTTCTAGACCTTCGTTCTGCTCCGCGTTTTTCGTTTCTTGTCGTGCTGCTCGTGCTGCGATCTTGTGCTTCACGTCTCCGTAGCAACAGTAACAATGGCTGTCTTCATCGTCTTCTTTGTTCTCCTCTTCTTGTGGATTAGGGGGCTCCATGACCACGATGGCCTTGACAATAGTAGGATTGCGAAACCTACTTGCGTTAGGAGGTGGGCGAGCGTTCTGCACTGCTGATCTAAATTGTTCGAAAATCGCTTTGCGTGATTGCGGGATGCCGTATTGGTTTGAGACTGTAATGATTCCACTCCTTACTCGAGGAACGCGACCGTTCGTTTGGCGTTTTTTCCAAAAAGCAGCCGTAGTATGAGAGGATCAGAAATTTTTGAAAATGATCTTTCTAGATGAAAACGAATCTAAAAGTGCAGGGACATGATCGATAATATGAAGAAACGATATAACTTAATAGTTTTTTAGCCTTAATGTCTTCTCTTTTTGTAGTAAGACTTCGGAACGCCTGATGGTGGAGGCATCAACTCTGCATCAAGATGATTCGTTTGACGAACATGCTGTCGCTTCCGCTGGGAACACTTTTTAGCACAAGGCTGCTGAACGTGAAACTTCATCTGAATATCGACGCCGTGCGCTACTCCAGAAGTTGAGGATGATGATGCTCCACCACCTAGAACTCCATCGGGATTCTGTATAGTGCTTGTTTTAAAAGTTGAGGTGGTCTTATGATCAGATAATTCATGAAATTGTCCACCTCCTGATGCACCTGTACTAGCGGAATTGCGTATAGACGAAGAAGTAGGCTCAGGATGAAGACCTACAGAGGATCGGCGAGTCTTCTTTTCGTGAGGACAAATCGTAGCAGCGCGATGTCGTACGTTACAATGAGGGCATCTTGGTCTGTTTTCTAGCGTTTCGTCCGTCCAAACGAGTGGACTTTTGCCTCCATCTTCTCCACGTGCAGCTCCGAGAGCATTGCTACTATTCGCATTACTGTTGAAGTCGCCACTTACTGTAGTTCCACCAAAGCCTGGCGTTACTCCTGGAGTAAAAGCAGGAGTCAAAGAAGCTGACTCAAAGTCAGGAGTTGTGCCAGACACCGTCCTGTCGTATTGATTTAGAGACTCAGCACCTGGTGTGATGGATCCGCTTGCTACGCCAGGCGTAGCTTGTTCGACGCCAGAACAAACGTTGTGCCCAACAGTCACGCTGCCTCCTGCTTCTTCACACAGCGCGGCGCTTTCATCCGATTGAGATTGTTGCTGTTTTTTGATCCACGGGCAAGTAGTCGTTTCCCGATGACGAACGCCACACATGTTGCAAAACGGATTCTTATGGCGTTTAGCGGGAGGCGATTTCTTCTCAGGAGAGGATGCTGGACGCTGCTGCTCTGAGTCCAGCTGCTCACTCTCAGGCAGATCTTGGTTTCCTGCTGCCCACTCGTTCATAAATTGTTCTCGTTGTTGCTGTGCGTATAGAAGCGTCCTACTAGGACGCTTGGAGCTCGAAGAGGACGACGACATTTTTTCAGTACAAGATCAAAAAAATGCGAAAAATTCAATCTCTACTTAATCAAATTCTAAGACTATTGACTGCAATTTAAGCAATATTCATCACATTGACGTATTTAGAAAGTAAGATACTTATGAGAGGACGAGGTGTAGATGAGTTTCGATTCGTTTTCCGATGTAGCGACCTTTTCATCATATTTCACTCGTTCTTTTTGATGGTTCTCTCGGTGAAGATCAAAAATTTTCAAAGGCAATCTTTCAGCCGGGAGGAGTAGAACACAAAATCAGAGAATTAGAGCCATCAAGTCTATTGTTTTTTTTTTAGTTGCGTGTCATCTGTGTCTTGCACTTGAAAATAACGGAAAAGTCTTAGCGTTTTGAGATTCAGCACCTTGTCAAATTTTCTTCATATTTAGACTACTCCTGTGTTAATTTCAATGTCAGTCTTCATATTAAATATCCAATCCCTAGACATCATTCCATGGACTTGTTTCCCTGACGAAGTCGCGGGTCCTTGAATATATCTCACCTAGACGAGTCTCAAGAACCAAAGGACTAGGATCATAACCACACTTGATGAATTCCTCTGGACAACTACATACCCTGGTATAGTGTGCAACATGGCCCATGATGCTATTCCAATCGCGGACGACCTCGCATGTTGGGTTATCACGACGCACAGCTGCTTTTACTTTATGAATGCAATTTTGATCCATAGGTTGAATAAAACCGGTAGTATGTGGTTCACTTTTGAGCACAATGATATCAGCTCCATGCGCTGACCAACCACGAGCGTTAGGTTTCAGGTGATCGTTGAAGTAATGAGTTCCAGCTCCATCCATCATGAAAAATAAATAGTAGTTTGATCTTTGTTCTTCTTCGAGAAAGTCTACTTTCCAACGTTTCCAAGCTCCAACAACGTAATGATCAAACCAGCCTTTAATGTCCTCTGTAGTCAAGTAGCCTCCAAATTTCAATGCTTCAACTTGATCTGCGAGTTCCTATTTTTGGAAACAAATAGGATCATTATTTTCAGACTCTTATGGTAGTTAAGTGATCAACTTTAGTAGATAGACGATATAAGATTTTAAAAACAGTTCGAATCACCACTAGTAATTAACTGCAAAAAATAAAAACAGATACTGTTTTGCAGTGTTTCTAGTGGGTCTTCATAAGTGTTTCGTGTGAAATGTATAAGATGAAAGAAGCATAATCCTATATTATAAAGGATTATACATCCAGACTACTTTACTAACACACGAAACACTTATAAAGAACCACTAGGAATACTGCAAAACAGTAACTGTTGTACTATTTTGCAGTTAATTACTAGTGGTGTTTGGAACTGTTTCAAAAAAAAGTATGTTTATAGTTTCTACATAAAAAAAAGAATATTTTAGAACAATAAAAAACCTTGCTGCCGGGGGGTTTCGATGCAGAAAAGAACAAGCAAAAAACTAGACGAGGGTAGAGCCTGACGCAGAAAAGCGAGAACCTTCTTACCCATTGATTTGGTCACGGGATTGTTCGAAATATGTACTATGGATTATCCACAGGACATGTTGATGGACTACAGATAACAGCATCCAAAACTGTTAAAACAAACAATAACAAATCATAATCAAAACGATATCACTACAAAACCACCACGGGGGCAGTGTTCTGCCACTTCACAAAATGAGAGCATCCGCGTAATTTGTTAGACCTTGCGGCCACGATCGGTACTAATCACGAAACTAGTGACAAGAGCGATGAGAATAGAAAGCAGCTGTTGAGTGCAAGGTTTTAAGGAGCGTTTTTCAACGGTCCCCGCGCCTCTTTTGCCCTGTCGCTGTATCGTGTAGCGCAACGCAAGAGCGTGGCGAAATACACTCCGAGAAAGGGCGCCGCGCGTCTCCAGAAAATAACCAGCAACGCAGCAGAAGGGAAACCATAGGAGCAGGCGGCTGGGTTCTCCGCCTGCAGTTTGCAGGAGCGAGGACCCCTCTAGCACGGCACGCAAGGCCTGAAAAAACACGGGCGCCGGCGAGGCGTGGGCGCGACAAGCTTCGGCGAGGACACTCGCCAAAGTTTTTTGCTCCACGTTTTTTCATGCTTCGCCGAGTTGCCTCCGGCTCGTCTCGTGACGTTGTAGAGGGGAGAAAAGTGGCAAAATATCGAAAACGGCCCAGAAGTACCACTGTCCCTTAACGGTTTCGCTTAAGAGTTTCGCGAGGAGTTCTTGCAAGTATTTCCTTTTTTAAAAGCAGAGGCGTCTCCGCACAAGCTCGCCCAGATAGCTCCACGGGGAGAACCCATCGCGGAACTGCACGAGCATACTCGGAGCCTCCACCTCTCGCCCGGCGTTTAGTCCGACTGGATTCCGGTGCTTCGCTGTGGCTTTCTGATTTTTGCCAATTTTTTAACTTTCTCAATTTGCTAGCATTTTTATAAAATTCCGCAGGCACTTCACTTGAAATTCGTGAAAGTTTCGAGCGTCTGCAAACTGATCGGGTGGCCTCTCATAGATGAAAAAGCGCGGCTTTTTGATTTTTTTAACCTGCTAGCATATTTGTAAGATTCGGCAGGGGTTTCCCTTCATTTTGGTAAAATTTCGCAGGCTCTTCAACCTGGTCCACTCCTCTGCGATAAATGAAAAAAGTGAACCTTTTTAAAAAATCTCTCCCGGATCTGCCACGTAAAAAAAATTTGCAAGATGAAACGTGAGCAATGTGATTTTTTTCGCCGAGCTGCCACCTCAGAACTAAAAAAATTAAGAAGGCCTTCTTAATTTTTTTAGTTCTGAGGTGGCAGCTCGGCGAAAAAAATCACTCTGCTCCTGTTTCGTCTCTCCGCGTTTTTATTTTCTTTTTGGAGTACGTGGCGAGAAAAATGCAAACTCATCACATTCGTCAAATTTTTTTACTCAGTCCACACAGATAAAAGCTCTAGAACCTACCGGCTTCCAGTTGAAAAGTGGCCAAAAAGTTGCAAAATCGTGCTTAACAAAACTGAAACACCACTGGAAAAAGAAGCCAGAGGCTACCGGTTTCAAGTTGAAAAATGGCAAAAAATTTAAAAAAATCATACAAAAAAACTGGAACACCACTTGAAAAAAATCAGAAGCCACAGACTTCAAGTTAAAAATGGTCCAAAAGCTGGGAAATCATACAGAAAAAAGCCCCAGCGCCACTAGAAAAAAGCCAAGGGCTACCATTGGAAAAAAGCCAGGAGCTACCACTGGAAAAAAGTCAGGGGCTACCACTGGAAAAAAGGCCAGCCCCCCCCCCCGAGCCGAACAAGAACCAAACGCAAACCGGGCCAAAACCCAAACCAAGCCCGAACCAAACTCAAACCAAACCCGAACCACGCCCAAACCAAACTCAAACCAAACCCAAACCACGCCCACGCGCGCACCCAAACCCAAACCAAACCCAAACCCAAACCAAACCCAAGCCAAACCCAAACCAAACGCAAACCAAACGCAAACCCAAACCAAACCCAAACCAAACGCAAACCAAACGCAAACCCAAACCAAACCCAAACCAAACCCAAACCAAACCCAAACCAAACCCAAACCAAACCCAAACCAAACCCAAACCAAACCCAAACCAAACCCAAACCCAAACCAAACCCAAACCAAACCCAAACCAAACACCAAACCCACGCCAATCGGAAACGCAAACCGAACACACTCAAAAACCATGCGCAAGCCGACCAAACCCGCCCGCCGGAAGCCCGCCCGGCCTCAAACCAAACAGGCGAGCCCTAAGCGTTCGGAGCTCGAGGCAGGGCGCAAACTCGCAGCATGCTCGAAACTCGGGCCGGGCTTGGGGCTTACGCTGAGCGTGGAACCCAAACGGGGCAGGCTGCGACGCGCTGCGTGTGCGTCTCCCCTGCTCTCCCCTCTACTTTTTCTTGCGATGCGTCTTCTGAACCGCAGGGAGCCCGGTGCCAGCAGCAACCGCGGCGCGCCCTCGAGGAGCGAGAAGCGGGGAGAGAAAGAAGAGAGGCAAAGGGCGGGACGGCATGACGATGCTGCGGCTTTGGCTGCGCGTGGTTCTCCAGTGGTGACCCGGTCGACACGGTCCCGCCTGTGTTGCCTTTGTCTTCTCTTTTGTTTCCCTCTCGTTTTCCTCTCTTCCAGGAGATTCGAGGGCGCGCCTTGGTGGCTGGTGGCGGGCTGCACTGCGTGCGCAGTGTGTCCCGCTCGGTCTTCTTCGTGCTTGGTTCACTCCTGAGATTCGAGGGCGCCGCGCGGTGGCTTGCGGTGGGTTATGAGGCGAGTGCAGTGCGCTCTCCGTCTTTGTCTTTCAGAAAGCTCCCGCCGAGCTCCGGGCCGCTTCAAGTCGGGAAGCTCCCGCGACTAGAATCCACCCGCGGCCGGGGTCGCTTTCTGCTTCGTTCGTCCGGGGAAGGGGGTCCACCTCCCCGACGAAATTAAGCCGCTGAGGGTCTTGTCGGTGAGGGCTCGACGCTGTGCGAATTTGATCAATCTGAGACATTTCCGCCTGTCATTTTGGAGACACTTAGAGACGGCACAAAACTGCCGCAAGAACATAGAAGAATCTGCATAGGCGCCGGACTGCTTCGGGACCGCGGGCCCCCACTCGACCCGCCCCGAAGCCTTTGCGGCAGCCCGGTCGAGGCTCGTGGGCGAGTCTTCTCCAAGCTTCTCGGAAAGCCTGGGAGGCTGGGGCAGGGCCCACCGGAGCCGCCTCGCAAAGCCTCCGGCAGGCTCGCAAGAGGCCGCCGCCGAAACTTTGGGGGAGGCTACTACATTCTTCACCAAGTAGCCAGAGCGTAGCTATTAGAATCATTCGCAGACAGATGGCTGCGCCTAGACTGTGGAGGAATCTAGACACAAAGCGGACGCTTCTGGTCTGATTTTGGTCGGCCGCAAGGCTTACCCGCTTCCAATTTTTTAACGCCGGGCGGGGGCACGCAGTTGGATCCCCGCACGGTATGAACTGCGTTCGCAGTCTTGCGCCTTCTTTAAAAATATTCGCCCGGAAATCATTCCTGCACTCAAAAAATGGCTTCAAATATTTGGCGAATGTTCCCAAACATTCTGCAACTAGTCTGAAATATTTGCAAAGTATTCGAACGCTCTTGAATATTCACAAAAGAAAGACGCAAAAGAAAAAGACCGCCGCAGCGTTTCCGGCAAAAATCGCCGCAAGGCTTTGCCGGCTCTCATTATCGGCCCTGCTCCCCCATATTCTTCCAAGATACTGGCGACAAGCGGGAGGCCTCGTCGGTCTCCGCGTGGTGGCGCTTCCGCAAAACCCTGCGCCACACTCTGCGGCGCGCTGCGGCGTTTTGTGTCGCAAATAGGAAAACAGCCAAAGCATATAACAACGAAAAAGCCGCGAAAGCTCTCGCAGGAAACCTGTCGTCGGGCTGTTGGCCGTTTTGCGAGTCCCTCAGCCGCTTCAAACTCGCGAACTGTCCTCCCTTAGTGGTTTCGACTTTCGTGCGGGTATCGGTTTCCCCGCGAAACTCTTAAGCGAAGCCGTTAAAGGGCAGCGCTCCTTCGGTTCCCTTGTCGATTTCTCTGCCCCCTTTTTCCCCCATTTGCCTCCGCCGGTCTTGCTCAAGGCGTCGCCGCGTTTTGCTCTTGGGCCGTCCGCCTTGTTATCGGTTTCGCGTGCTGCCTTCTCTTCTTTTCTGTGCTTTTCTGGCATCTGCTTAGCGGTTTCGCGTCGGCTGCTTTCCCTCATTTGTTTCGCGCGCCTCCGTGTGTCTCTCTCTATATAATGCCACCGGTCGGCCACCTGTGCGCCGCGGTCCTGTTATGATCTCTTGGGAGACACTTGCGCGCCATCGGAGTCCCCCCCCCCGTGAAACTCTTAAGCGAAACCGCTTAGGGACAGCGCTGCGCCGGTTCCCTTTTGGATTTCTTTTCCCCCTCTTGTCTTCATTTGGTTCCCCCGGTCCTGCCCAAGGCGTGGCCGTGGTTTGCTCTTGTGCCGTGCCTTTTGTCATCGGTTTCGCGTGCTGCCTTCTCTTCTTTTCTGTGCTTTTCTGGCATCTGGCTACCGGTTTCGCAACGGCTGGGCAGCGATCCCGGGACACCGGGCGGGCGCCCCTTGTCGCCTCGGTCCTGCGTGTGGCTCACTACATCGCGAAGGCCTTGGGCAGGGGTGGCTTGCGCGGTGGATGCTTTGGCAGCCTCGCACTTGGAAGGACTTCGGCAAGTTCTTAATCGGCGGCCACTGGAAGCCGACTAAAAACAACAGCCCGAAAGCTTCAACCCCGAAAAAAGCAAAGAACAAAAAACAAAAACGGCCGAAAAAAGGCAGCGGCTTGACACCGCTCCCCGGTTTTATCCTTCGCGGAATCTAGTGGGCGCAGGATAATCAACCGGCTGCGAGTGGTGTCATTTAATGGACACCGAAGCCGCCCACGAAGCTGATTAAAAACAACAAGCCAAAGGCTTCGACTTCGAAAAAGAAAAGAGGAAAAAACAAAAACGGCCGAAATAAAGCAGCGGCCTAGCATCGCTGCCCGGTCTCATTTCCCGCAGATCCTAGCGAGGCAAGATAATTGGCCGGATATGGGTGGCAGTTGATAAAAGTGGGGAAGTCCCACTCTCGTGGGCACTAATGGCGAAAAGGTTCTCGCTCTCTCCGTTAAGGGTGCCGGCTTTTGCCTGCTGGCGAGCAACAGCCAAGAAGAACCCAGGCACGGGCCGAAATACTGCGGCCGAGGTCGCTGCTTTCTCGCTGCTTGTGCTTGAAAGAAGCAAGAGAGCCCGACTCCCGTGCGAACTAGTGGCAGACTTTGCCCTTTCCCCATTAGGAGCGCCCGCTTCTATCTGTCGGCGAGCAACGGCAAGGGAGAACCTTGGCGCATGCCTGTCAACTGCTGCCAAATTCGCGGCTTCCTCGCTACTTAAGCCAAAAGAGACGAGAGGGCCGCAACTTCGTGGGAAACTAATGGCGGGAAAGGCTTGCCATTTTCTTCCATTAGTTTCCCGTAGGCCCCCAAAGCGGGCGATATAAACCGTGTGCCCCCATCAGTTTCCCTGACCCTCTCGCGCCTGCCTCCTTGGCCTCCTGTGGGGTCTCCACTGGTCTCCCGGAAGCCACGGCCCCGGCTGCCTTTGCAAGGAGAGCAGTAGAGACCCAACAGGAGGCAGGGGCGGGAGGCTTGGGAAGCTGCTCGGGGTATAACACGACCCCCACTGGCTTCCCTATAGGCCGCTATAGAGGGCTATCCCGACCCTACCCCCCCCAAAGCGAAGCCCTAGGTCAGGGCAGGCACCTGACCCCCTACGGGTGGACGGGGTGGGACCTTTCGCCCTGTTTGGTCCGCTTTGGTGTCACTGTTTCAGGGCCCATATGCCTGCCTTCTTGATTGTAGTAGTGGGCCGACTATGTTCCCCCCCAAAGCGAGGCAGTTCTCCCCGGTCGCTCGGGGATGTACGCGCAAAATTACTGGAGCGAAGCTCCAGCCGCAAAAATGGCGCAGCTGGCGCAGAGGCTTGAAGCCAAGACTGACACGGAAAACCGAAGCCGAAAAGCCGAGGCGAAAAAAACCCTAAAGAGGCGGCCGGCGCTAGTGGCGCTGAAACTCCGGGGCCCAAAGGCTGTCGCGTTGAACGCTTTCCGCTCGACGTTGGTGGAATACTTGCACCGGTGCGTGGAAAGTGCTACAGCTAAGCGGGTCCAGAGATGAAGCGCCCAGCCCGCGGCTTGGCGGCTCTGCCTAGTGTCCGCGCGCCTTGGCCACGTGTATTCGCGCCGCGCGCTTGAGGCGGCGCCCCGTGTCAAGCACAATCGCAAGCCCGAAGGGGGGCAATCCGGGAAACACGAAAAAGAGAGAATCTGCTATGCGCCGCCGTTTGAATGAAAACGACCTTCAGTGCAGGAGGATGTGTCTCAGCGTGAGGGCAAAAACAGATGACCATATCCTTTGGCCTCAACAAGTATAGGCGAAGGCTATTCTTCGTTCCCCGCGTATGTCCTCTTTTTTTTCACGTTACTTAGTAGGCTTCTGCGCACGCGGTCAATGCATATTTTCAATAGTGTTAGTTCTGGTGTGTCCCAGAAGTACTTCGGCCTTTTATTGTCGTTCCTGATGAGTTTGGCAGACCCAGCCACCAAGATGAATATCAAGCCCAAGACCAACAAAGATAACGCACAAGATCAGCGGGATCCACAAATGCCTAACGAATGGCTTACACGCTTTTCAACTAAATTTCTTCCCGTTCTCCGGAGGTGGATTTTTTGATTTGGAAAACAAAATCTCAGGTTACTATTATGGCTGAGCAAATCATAGCTTTTTCCCTGATGTTTATGTTACTGGCTACCTATATTCACATCTAGTGATTCAGCTTTTTCCAGGGTGCATCTTCCTGATCACAAACAGCTTCTATTATATTATCGACCTACACCACACAGATTTGTACGACCGATCTTCACATCGATATCTAGTAGGCCGCATTCAGTTTCTCATCCAATTCCGTGTATACAAAAGTTTTTAGTAGACTTTATTTTTTTTGTTTTTTTAATCACAGCTGAAAAAATGGAGACGTGGGCACCGTTGATGGAAGCGAACATTCAGGGGACGATTCGTGCATACGAGGAGCGACGTCAGTATGCCGAACATCAACAGCGTTTGTTCAACCAAAAGAAAGATCTTGATGGTCATCATGTTAATGGCCGTTTGGAGAAGAAGCAGAACAATGTCGCGAAGAAAGATCTCGAGAAGAACGATCAAGAAGATGAAAATCTCGCAGCGACAATTCGTGAGGCTGAAGAGTCGGGCGCACTAAATTTGTTTTCCTGCTGCATTGGTCCTCGTAGCGGTAAAAAATCTGGGACAACTACTACGAATGCTACGAATAAGGACAAATCCGTTTACACTAAAGCGCAATCCTCTTCTTCTCAAGAAGATCGTTCTACTACGCATGCTACTAAACGTAAACCCAGCAGTCCTTTGAAATTGAAAGCCTTGTGGCACAAAGTTCCCGACGCGCAGTTGTCCAAAGAGGAGAAATGGGCGAAAGAGCGCTTTTACGATCTGGAGAGGGCAAAGCGGATGGAAATTGCTATGAGTGAACATGCGAAGTGTTTTCAGCCTACTTTTCAAGAGCTTTTGAATGCGATTGGGACTCAGAACTTGCCTTTTTTGCGCCGTTTGCGGGAAGCGCCGACCGTGCAAAGGGGCTACATGGCGGTACTGGTGAACCAATTATGGGCTAACATGCTGTTGAAGGGCGAACTGGATGCGACAGAAGCAAAAATACTACTGCAAGAAGAGCTGGAGAAGAAGAATCCGTTTCCAGCACATTTAGCAAAAAAGGTAAAAAACGCTAGATTTCGTACGACAACTTCTTCTTCTGGTGATCAACAACATACGAACAAGAGCCACGCGAAGAAGGTGGTCGTTGAGTACCACAAGCATCCACGTCCACTATCGTTGGACAACCCTCCAAGGTTTACACTGTTGACCATTGCCAGTTCAGGCGGGAATCCGGAGATTTTAAAGTATTTGATCGAGCATTGCGATGCTTCAGTGAATAACGCAGTGGTTGGTCCTGGAGGCTTTCTTCGTTGTAACGGACAAGTGGTAGTGCATTATGACAAAGATGTTGAAAATGGAGTGGATGATGAAAAAGATGATCACTTGGTCGCACACGTGTCGATTCCTGATCGAGTTTTTCCGGGTGCTCCTACCATGACTGGAGCCTTGAATGCAGGAGAAGGAGGAGGAGGACACAAAGGGGAAGGCAGAGGAGGACTGGAGCCTTACTCGTTAATGGAGAGGAGACTCCTGCTGAACCGCTCTCCGCATGATCCTGTTTGCGCTGTCGTTTTTGATAGCGAGGATGAAAGTATGAATACTCTGAAGATTGCGGATTACGACAACGGCAAACACGGCATATACGGAAATCTATTAGAGATAGAAGACATCGAGCTAGTCGGCAACGGCATGTCGGATTCCGCTTTTGAGCGAGAACAAAGACCAGAAAATTTAAGTCTTTTGTACGTGGAGGAAGCAGTGCGCAATTTGGCCCATAGCAGGACACCTCGAGTTAGTTTAGACACCTTGGATGAAGAAGGAAATGCTACATTTAAACCCCTGAGCAAGGAAGACGCAGAAGCGGAACTGTTTCGGATGACTGAGGAAAATGCAGAACAACGTAAAGGGGAAAGAATCTGGAGTGTGTGGCCACCTGCGCCATTGGAAGACACAATGTTGGACTATGGAATGGCAAGTGAATTTGCACATGCAAGAATCGAAGCAAGGGAACTGAGAACGAAAATTGTGCTGAGGTCTCAATCTGTGTCTGATAACTCTGCTTTCGTGGATACAGACTCTCCGGAGACCGCAACATCGGGTGTGGAGGTTGGTGCAGTAAATGCTAGTACCGAAGTAGAGCAGGACCACCACCAGGTGGCTAGTAATACTACAACTCTTTTTGTCGTAGCTGACGATGTTCAGCAGATCATGAGCCACAAAAGTATCTCGAGTAGGATCCACACGGAGGTCGACGTTGCTGAAAGGCTGTCCACGTTCTCTCTGCAGAACCAGAAGTACCGCATATGGCAGAGTGTGACGCCACGTTTAGTCTGCTGCTGGCCTTTGGAGCAAGCCGTTTGGAACTCAGTGCGCGGTCACGGTCATCCACAGGCCGTCCAGGTGTTGCTGGATCATGGCGCGGATATTTTTGTGCACTCTGAAATGAGTGGAACGCTTCTAAACTTGGTCTTGGAAACGCATTGGCACGATGTCAGACGGGCAAATGGGCAGCGCGGAGCTGCTTGTGTAGTCGAGGGAACACCGGCCGGGCGAGGTGCTTCTTCTTCTTCATCTGAAGTTGTAGTCCTGGGATCAAAAGGACAATCCGAATCTTTTGGCGAACAAGCTGGCAAAGAATTGCTGCGGGCTCTGTTAAGACATCTTCAGACGAGAGTGTATCCGAACGACCCTGTGGCCTATGCGGAATGCCCCTTGCTTACTGGATTTTCCACAAGGGTTCAACATGGCCAGGCAGCAGCAGATGCATCAATCAACCAAAAGGAGTTGCTCTTTTTTTCTCCGGTAGAAACGGCAGTTCGTCTGATCGACAATTTTCAACAGACAAGTGCGAAAGAGGCTCTGCGGATCATGGTAGAGGAATTCCACGTACCTATCGCTCCGGAAAAACTAAAACCTAGAGTCTTGGAGCTCTTGCAAATTGAAGCATAAGGTTGGATCTTCTGGTGTAAACCAATAAAGATTCAAATCATCATCAAAGATTGAGTTTTCATTCTGTGGAGAAGTATAATGAGCCGTGACAAATATAACCAATACAGATTGAAGTCTGTGCTCTTGCGGTGCACGAACATGCAATTTTTGGAATACCTTAGACTAACGTCAGTAGGTACAAACTACTCTTGTGGAATCACAAAGATGAGAATGAACTCACGTTATTCACCAACGGTCGACATTGTTTTGTTTTTGGGCGTTGAAAACTTCTTCATGGAATGGACTTGTCTGATTTTACTTAATTGCGAGGGCACGCTTTCGCTTAGTTTCGATATTTTAGCTCTAGAAATAATCTTTGTTATTTTTCCAAGTCTGACCTCTATTAGTGCATGAAGCTAAGTTCCCTACCGTACGCCCAAAAATCAAAGTTTGAACCAGGAATACGACCTCCCAGCGATAGGCCCTATAAAAGAAACCCTTAAAGTGAGAGTGTGCATTCATGGATGGCACTAAAAACCCGCTTTACCCCTCATAGGCGCATATGATAAAGTGCTTATTCACAAGAGCAGGCTGCCGTGAGACGTATAAGGCTATGCATGGCCATCCACCCACACCCACAAAAACCGCCCGGTGCGAGCACTCGTATAGGCTCTTGGGAAGAGCATCGTGTTCAAAAGCAAGACGGAGCGGAGCTGCTGCGCTTCTTGACTGCTGCGGAGGTCGTCCTATTGCTGTGGCGCTTGACGGTTTCGCCGCTTCGCTTAACGGTTTCGCCGCTGCGCTTCTTAGAGGTTTCGCTGGTGCGCTTAACGGCTGCGCCCCTGCGCTTAACAGTTTCGCCCCTGCGCTTGGAGGCTGCGCCCCTGCACTTAACGGTTTCTGCGCTTAACGGTTGCGCCCCTGGGCTTAACGGTTGCGCCCCTGTGCTCCACGGTTTCGGAGGTGCGCGCAAGGGCTGCGCCCCTGCGCTCGAGGGTTTCGGCGGCGCGTCTAGCGGTTTCGCTTGGCAGCTGGGCTTAATCGCCTGAGACGCTTAAGCGGTGACCGGCTGAGGCGCTTGAGCTCTCACACACCTCTGTCGACCGTAAAGAGGAGATGAAGATGGCTTTTAGATCGAAAGAGAGAGACGAGGTGAGCATTTTCATATACTACTTCGCCTTCAAAGACGATATTAGAACACCAATGAGTCCATTGTATGTTCGAAGGTACGTAAACCGAGAGAGGCTGAGGGAAGCACAGGAAATTGTGTTTTGTTGCGTGGAAATTCAGAGTGTGGAAAGCAGTGCATGGTCTTGAGAGAACATCCCGGCTGAGGCATTCCTATTTCTTGTCACTGTTGAGCGGGAGAAGAAATGATTTTTAGTTTTGAATCATATCCGAGTGATTAGATAGCCTCCGTTAGTGTTTTCTACGCACCCTCAGTACAGTATTGAAATTTGAAAAATATCTACAACTGTCACCGCGACTACCAAAACAAGTATTTATAATTAATTTTCAGTTTGTAACTAGTTCTAGTACCTAAGATACTATAACTTTTTTTTTACTTCTTGGCCTCTTGCTAGGTACATCTTCAGTCAGTCAATTAACCAAAAAGAAAATGGGCAATATGGTTGTGTCGCTTCGGGACGCCGGAGGCGGTCCGCACCGAAGAGATGAGAGTGGGAAACGCCAGACGGGGTACATCGACGGCTGCTTCGACATTATGCATTCTGGGCACTACAACGCGATCCGACAGGCGAGATCACTCTGTGATCGTCTCGTAGTGGGCATACACTCAGATGCAGATTATGACGGGAGAAGGTTGTGATGTAGATGGTGTAGTGTGATTGGGTAGCCTGGGAGTCTTGTAGCACGCAGTAGAGGTAGAGACTCTGAATATAGCTGAGTAAGAGCAAATACAAGTTGTAATCGGTATGAATTAGGAAAGTGTAGTCCTGTTTACTTCTACAGATTATGTTGCTTCTGCAATATCTTTGTGTACCTTTCACTGCAATAAGTCCTGTTTACTTCTACAGATTATGTCACTTCTGCAATATCTTTGTTACTACAGATTATGTTACTGCAGAAGTAACAACATCACTTTGTGTAAGTACCTTTGTTCATACATGAATCGCGAGAAACAAGGGGCCACCTGTGATGGTTCAGTCCGAACGCTATGGCCTATTGGAGCATATCAAGTGGATAGACGAAATCGCGCACGACGTGCCTTATTCACCGACATTAGCCACACTCGATGCGTGCGGAGCAGACTTCTCTGTGCATGGTAGTCAGAAAACTTGTCAGAGGATAGAGAAAGTTTGTACTTCCCTGTAGGTCCTCTACGCAACCGTTAATTTAGTAGTTTACAAATAACGATGATGGACCACCTTTAGATCGAGTTACAGTCCACGAGTATCGATCATTCTTCTCGTCACGACAGGTGACGACATGCCAGTAAATGCACAGGGTGTAGGTGCGTATGACTCTTTGAGGGACGCTGGCAGGCTAAAGATAGTAAAGCGGACTGAGGGCGTCTCGACAACAGACTTCATCGGGAGGCTGTTATCCCTGTCAAAAGCACATCACGAGCCGTCATCGCCAATCCTAGAAACCACGCGGGCGTCAGCGGCAGCGAGCAAGATATGAAAGAAATACTTAAGCAAAATAAGCGGGTAGAAGTCGTCAGGGAAATCTTAGGCAGGTTGCCGAGTAGATTCCCATCATCAAGTAGCTAGACATGTACCGAAGTAATCAAAAGTAGTAAGTAGTTAGACCCTAACATACCCCATAATTAACAAACTGTTTGACACCCTAAACTACTTCTCTACACGCAGTATAATCGTTCAAATAATCCTTGCAAATGATATTGGCTAGTTGTATATTTGGAACTCCTGGTGTGCGATTAGCTAACACTCTTCATATCTGAATCAAGCGGGGCTGAGTTCGCAGGGGGTAAAATTGCTGGCTTCGACGCGCAGAATATCAGAGTTTTCGAAACCGCACAGGCTGCCAGCCGCAGATGACGTTGTGGTATTTGAGAACCCTAAGCCCTTGCTCTCCAGTATGTGGTGATGAGCTGCTTTTTTGACCCTGGAAAGTTGGCAACGAATAGGGACATATTTATGCATTCATTGACCCTGGATTGTGGCCGACCTTTGTGAGGTTTATCATTACCATCATGTTCTTCTTCTTCTTCCTCTTCTCATCTCATCAACAAGGTATACTGTGACGGATCATTTGATATGTTTCATCTGGGTCATGCGACTACACTAAAGAAGGCAAAGGCCTTAGGGACATTCCTCGTAGTCGGTATCCACGATGACGATGCGGTAAACAGGGTAAAAGGCGCAAACTACCCCATCGCGACTTTGCAGGAGAGAGTGCTGTGCGTCTGCGCATGCAAACATGTGGATGAGGTATTTTTTGCAAGAATTTTTTTAAGATTACGTTCTTTTAATGTCCCTTGGCGGCAGGAAGTGGTTCGGAGGTACTACTACTTTTCCAAGTTTTACTTAAGTCATACGCAACGAATACACACAAACGTCGATGAAGAAAAATTTCTAAGACAAGAAATGATGCCCAGGTAATAATAGGAGCTCCATTGGAGGTGACACACGATATGCTGAAGACGCTGAATGTGAGCTACGTGGTACAGGGGAGCCACACAGAGACGCATCATTATGACTTGTTTGTTACTGGATGGCCTCACAAGTAGACGCTAATAAGTAGCTACATAAGAGGGGCCATGACATGACGTCACCCTTGTTGAGTCCGTTGCTAGATCTTCAAACTGCCGTTCATATCAACCCAACCGAGCAGACCCGTTTAAGGCTTCTTTCCTAGTAATGCCTCCGTCAGTATAAAGAGTCCCCTTTCATACCCTCTTTCGTGAAGCAGGCTACGCTATGGATGTAGTGGGCGCAAGGAACACGGATGAAGACCTTTATCGCGTCCCAAAGGCTCTGGGAATGATGCGCACAGTCGATTCGGATTTCTTATGAGATCTAGAACTCCTTGCTGTGGTGTTGTCGTTGAGATAATATTTTGTTTTTGTCTACTTTTATCTGATACGTTTTTTAATCGCTTGAAGTTGTTTTCCTTGTTTGTTTTCCACAATCTGTCATAGGGAAATATAAGAAACCAATCAATGATGTCTTCTCTAACCTTCCCAGAATTGAACACCGCAGTGATCGCACAGCGCGTTGCAGAGAATCGGTTGGCGTACATGAATCGCAACGCCGATCGCGAAAAGAGGGAGGCAGCTTACTATGAAGAAAAAGCGACGAAGAAAGAGAGTATCGCAGAGGCGTGAGTCAGTCTTCTTCTGTCTTGATCTTTGTGGAGGAGAAGATGAAGATGTCCTCGCATTTCGGAGGAGGAGGTCAAAATTAGAATACTCGCATGTTAGACCAATTACAATATTCTTGGACAACTACTTGATAACTCGAAATTGTTAGCGCCGGTTCATTCATCGCGTGAATTCAATGGTTCTTTTAGCATTTTTGACAATTCTACTTGTATCGCAGATATCTGATATTGTCGCAAAATTTTGAATCAACGTCTGGAAATACGTACAAAGACTACGCAGATTCCGGTGTCAGTACAGCGTCATCTAAAAGTGCTACGGGCTTCTGGAGCTTATACTCAAGGGGAGGCTCCTGTAAAAGTAGGGGCTCCTCAGAGTCAGAATTGCTCAAGAATTATATGGACTTTCTTCATAGATGAAACCTTCGTGTTGAGAAATGTCCTGTCAAGTATTAGCACTGAGACTCTAAAAAAAGGAGTTGGAGCTATTCGAAAACTCAAAATAAGCGAGCTACTGACTGAAGTAAGAGAGTCTTGACTACATTCCTGTTCTTTCAGTATCTCCCTTATTTTCAATAGTTACTCGGTTTTTCGCGTAGTTCTTTGTAATTGGACCCCCCAAACCGTTTAGAAGGACGACTTCCCGAAAGATTTTGGTCAGAGATTCTACCTCCTCACGACCCTCGGTCTACTCTTGTGTGAGAAAGGTGTTGCCTCTCCCTATAAAGAAATAAAATGTTGGAATTATAGACCACTTCCCAATCAAGTACTTTTTGAACCTGATCTTACTGGCAATGTAGAAGACCTTACCTTCCTATTTCTACAAACACCAGCTCAACCAACAATGTTGCCACACTCTGAATAACAAGATGAATAAGTAACAAGACCATGGTGCCTCCTGATATGATAGACAAGTGATGTTTTTGCACCGGTTCGTCCTCGTTCTCCTCGCATGGTCAGTTGTCGGGCACCGAGGCCCGGTCGACCTGCCACCAGAATTCTACTTCACGGGAGTGGAAGAAGATTTTGGCAACACTGTTGCGAGTGCCGGTAACAATGGCGTTGACCTGCTTCAAGGAAGGAGCGATGGAGAAGCTAAGGAAAGGAGCACACCAGCATCTCGAGGAGGAGGGGCAAAGAAGGAGAAGACCAGAACTAGCGCATTGATGGAGAAGCGAACTTTTATTAGTGCAAAGGTGAAGAACAGCAATACTGCAGGAGAAGGGCACAGTAATGATGGAGAAGAGAAGCAAAATGCTGGAGCAAAGAAGGAAGACGCCAGTACTCGAGCAGTCGCTTCAACGTCAGCCTCGAAGATTGGCAATGCAGCGACGGCGAAAGAGAAGCATACGAAGATTGCTTTCTTAGATCTCCGTGATGGTCCGGCAAACGTTGGGAGTTATGGACCAAAGTTGAATAGTGAAATAAGTCTTTGCTCTTCTTGCTGAAATTTTTTTCTTAAGACTGCTTCAGAAGGTGTAGATGGATGTTCTTTCATCATTTCTCGTCCACGATGCCCTTTCACTTCCCCACTCCCCTTCGCTCCAACATCTCCTTTCATGCCCTCACTGAAGAAGCACTCCAATCCGAAGCAATCTTCCAGAATCTGACGGCTGCGACACGCCAGAAGCTGGGCAATCTCAAGCGGGAGCTTGAGCAAGAGAGGAGCGATCTTTCGAATACTTTGCGCAGATGTAAAACTGACGCAGCGTCTCATCGTGCGGAGATGGACCGTGGATGGAGTCGTTTACGGACCTTGGAAACCGAGATGGCGGAACAACAGAGTCGAGCTAGTGGCGGTTTGGCGCAGGAAGACGCAACGAAGCATGCAGTCGAGAATGCAGATGGCAACCAACAAGGTCTTCAACAGGTAGAAGGGTCATCTCAAGGTCTTCAACAAGAACAAGGGATATCCTCTGATACAACTTCCTCCAGCGAACAACAATCCTGCGACCCAGGTCCAGCACGAGAGGAAGCGCGAAAACGACTGGAAGTGACGCGAGAACGGCTAGCTGCGAACAAGAAGGAACTCGACAGGATCAGAACGGCTTGCAATCCAGAAGTGGAAGGAGAAGATCATGCACAACTGCAGGTAGAAGAAGCAAGAAGTAGTAGTAGTAGAGGTTCATTTCATCTGCAGAAGATGTTTACAAATCATGACCTGACTGCTACAAAAGATGACCTGACTGCAGCGAAGAAGAAGAATAGCGACGAGGATCTTTCCGACCTTTCTCTCGCCACTTGCAGAAATGTCCTGCTACAACAAGCAAACAAAGACGAGGGAACCGTGAAACCTCAAGTAGTACAGCACAGCGTCAGAAAAGTGCATCAAGAGTTGTCTACGGCAGATTTACTACGACTAGATGCTTTGGAAAAAATGCAAGAATATGCGAACCAGGCATCTTTTAACAATGCTGCTCACGCAGTGAAGACAGTGACTGGAGGATGTGAGGAGAATCAAGATGCCGCTTCTACTTCTAGGACACCTACTACAACAGTTGTACGAGATGAGGGGAACAAGAACTCTGGTGATGACTCACAAGAAGCACAGTCCGCTAGAAGAAGTAGCTTCATCGACAAGAATGGTGCTTCACACTCCGCAACGTCCTCGTCTAGCCTAAACGACAGGGCACAGACGTCAACGCAGAAAAACAATGCGAAGATAGTGTCGACGAAAGATGCTGCCTCTTCCACACAGCAGACGTCGGTAGTTGCGAAAGACGCTGCCTCTTCCACACAGCAGACGTCGGTTTTTGGTTCTTTTTTCCACAGTATCCTGCATTCAACGTTCCGTGTGCCCGTCTTCATGAACCTGGGGATGTCGTCGTTTCTGCAACAGAAGTCTTCAAAAACAGAATCTCTGCACCACAATCAAAACGCTCTTGCAGTTCTTACCCATTGTCGAGCTTTAGTTGCAGCAAGTCAAGAAGATCTTGTCGTGCCACTATCTTCTTCACAAAGAAGAACAAGTAGCAGCGGGGACACACATACAAACCCAAGTGATGCTCAACAACAGCTACCCCTGGTACTCCTGCACAAAAGCCAACAACACGCGCACGATCCGAATGCAGCCTCCTCTTCTGTAGCCGTACTAGGTTCATCATCCTCATCTTCGCAGTGTGCTGCCGAACTCGCTGGTCATGGTACTGTGTCACTAGCGGTGCAGGAAATGGAGCAGGAACTAGAACAACACTTCACAGCGGTTCGCGAAGCAGAGGATTCGTGTAGGACAGAACGTTAAGGGTTGGATAAGTTGACCGACTTCTCGAGAATGAGCATATCAATATGTAGCATGTCTATGGCTTCTCTTTTGCTTTCTCTGCGCCCACCGCTGCTGGTGCGTCGAACTAATCGAAAAATTTGTAATTGTAATAGATCATATGTGAGATAGATCAGAGAGATGTGAGATAAACGATATTAAGTGAACTTCTTCCAACCCCTAAGAAAAGGCGGAGCAAAATGCAGCCACAACACAACACGAGGAGTTTGCGGCTGCCGGAGAAGCGGCAGCAGCGGACGCCAATTCCAAACTTCAAACTTTGCAAGCAGAAAAAGACAACTTGTTGTTATGGAAGGCGGTTTGGCAGATCACGAGAAGATGACTCAATAATACTAGATTCTCTTTTTTGAGATCACTAGAAAAGGAACTTTTGTTTCCCACCCTCCTCCTCTAATTTTCGAGTCTCTCAATGCCCTTGGCGAGTCCGTGAGGGGACTGGAGAGTAGTTGCAAGGAACGGGAAGAGGAGTCGGAGGAAATAGAGAAGAAGCTCGTAGAGGCACGGGCTGAATGCTTGCACGATGCAAAAGCAGGTGCTGGATTACGCGATTGCGAAGTCAGCGAGTGGGACCATGACGTTCGAGATTGCGACTGCACCGAAAACGACTACAGCGGAAGGGTTTGGAAGAAAGTATTTAATTATTCCATGATTGAGTCAGTTTTTCTTCACTTTTTAGCGTGGCAGTAAGTTGCTTGTGATTTAATTAATATCGAAGTTCTTGTAGAAGTTTTTCAAGAGTAAAGTAGTTCTTGGGACGAGAGATAACAGCCTTCTTCTAGAAGCGAGGTTTTTGGTTTCGAGATTGTCTCTGCCAACAATTAAATTGCTGAAGGTAGAGAATGACCTTTTGAGACACAATGATGATGAAATTTCCTCTTCCAGTTCTTCGCAACCCGTAGCATTCAAGTGACGCCAACTCCGCTTTTCGGTATCTCGTGTCCTGTGCTTCGTGAAGAACGCAAGTGCCCGAAGCAGTGTTTGAAGCCCGTAGACTGCGAGTTCGCTGATTGGGGCGAATGGGAGTCTTGCTCGGTGACCTGCGGCGGCGGCGTGCGAAACCGAGCACGGAATGTAGCCAAACTTATGGCCGCTTAGGCTTCGTCCATCTTGATAGAGGTAGATGATCCCTCTTCCGGATATTTCAAGGGGATGATCGTTCTTCATCTGTTGTATATAGACGATATTGATGTATGACAGGGGTCGATCCCCCACATCGAAATGAACTACTTAGTTGGTAGATGAGCTAACAAACACGCAGAGAATGGCGGGATGGAGTGCACTGGGATGCCAACGGAGACAGATCAGTGCAACGTGCATCCATGCCACGAGGACACGGCGATTGAGGAAGCGCAGGGCAAGGAAGAGCAGCCGGTAGCGGCAGAAGAAGCTGAGGGGGACCAGGATGGAGACAGTGGAGAAGCTGCTGTTGATGAGACAGGTGCAAAAAGTCGTGCTAGTCCCGTTGCAGTAGACACGGAGCAACAAGCAACAGTAGTACCATCAGCACCTGACCAAAGCTCTACGGGTGAGGCGACGAGTAGTGCAAGCTCCAATGTTGCTAGAGGAACACGCGGAGCTCGCGTGGCAGGAGCTTCATCTAGTCGTGGCAACAGAGGCTCAAAAGGGAGTGGAGGACTTTGTGGTGGCCGCGAAGGCGGCGGCTTTGGTCCGAGTGCTCCTTGTCCTCTCTCCGTCTGGTCGAAGTGGTCTCGCTGCTCGCAGTCCTGCATGGTCCGCGGCAGTCGTGTGAAGCCCTACCGTGAGAGCCGACGAGCTTGGGCTGGGTTCAACCTCCAAGAAGAGCAGTGTTCGGGTTCAGTACGAGAATTGGCTCATTTCGGTGGCCCGCCGGTGAGCGGCTTACTTACTCCTGCAGCGTTAGGCGAGCTGGCACGGAGCGGCCAGTGTCCCGCACGACGGTTGGAGTGGAATGACAAGTCTGTCGTGGAAATGCAGGACTGCAACGTCTTGAACCTGTGTCCTAGGAAGCTAGGCTGTGCAGCCCAGAACTGCGAAAACGCAGGGGAAGTTCTTCTAGTGCTGGATGATCGGGTCGGCGGAGACGATTTCGAAGGCCAGAAAAACGTTGCTGCCACTTTGGTAAGAAAGTTGTTGAACAAGAAAGTGGCACCTCTGCATCTGGGAGGCGAGAAAGGACTTCTCATGGCTGATATGGGGTCTTCCTACGCAGATTCTGTTGAAGGAAGTGACGAAGATGGGGATGGAGATGAGGATGATAATAGCAGTGGCGAAGATGAGGATGATGATTACAGCCAACAAAATGACGATAATTTGATGACATCAACAAGTGATGTATTTTTGCAGCAACATTCTAGTTCACGAAGACGCGGGAACTCTATACTGGAGGTTGCCGCGCGTCTCCGTTCACAGTCACCTTGTGGTGATAACTCACTGCGTGTCGCTCTGTTCAAGTACAATCGCACCTCGGCTTCAGTACTTGGCATATCATCATCACCTTCTGCTAGCAATGAGCAGGATAGTTCTACTACTTCTGGGAAGGAGAACAACTACAGGAAAAATGCTCAGTTTTTCTCGCGTAATGCGGGTGAGATCGCACTTGCTCTTGAAAACGATGGGTCGTGGCAGATGTCTGGTCTAGGTGGTGGTACAACGAAAGAAGCTGCAGCTGGCGTCTCACTCGCACACGACACTTTGGTTGACTTTTTCGCACAAAAGCTCGCGCAAGAGGCAGCTGCAGCACGCAGTGCGCAACAGCAGATGCAGGGTTTCGCTGCGAATTTAGAGCGTGTCGATCCGAAACTAATCGCAAACCGAACTCGGCCTTGGCGAGAAGCAGAACGAGCCAGATTGGATGGTGGGAGCGACAAAACACCAGATGGTTCGATTGGAAGCCTCTTCACGGCAGAATACGGCTTTGCAGTGCACTCAAATGGTGCTGCGAAGACTGAAGATGCTGGTAAGACGAACAGTTCAGCATCTAGTGGTGTCAATAGTACTAAAAAAAACACTTCGACTTCGTTTCTACAGGTGATGAGAATTACAAGAACTACTAGGTCCTCGCGTGCTAGAAGAAGTAGGGCAGAACTTTTGACTCAGCAAGGAGAAGAAACAGTGAACAATCGTCGTCGACACGCTGCCCTGCAGAGGCGTCGAAAGCAAGATGCAGTTACCGACTTGTTGAGCACATTTTCTCTAGGAAGTGGAAAACTAGTAGCTTCACAGGATCCCAGCACTGCTGGAAAAGAACAGACATCTCTCCACATAGTAGCATCAAGCAGCAACAACTCTTCTGCTGCACACAAGACTAACAACGCTGTCTCGCAACCCCCAGCGGGTCCGCGTTATCGCAGAAAGCGCACTTTGATCTTGTTTCTCTCGGAAATGCCAGATAATCTCGGAGCTGTGCATGCCCAACTCCAGAACCTCAAACAGCAACACGGCTATCGAGTTCTACTCTTGTATAAGAAACACGACCGTCCAAGCCATCCTTTCGAAGCGAACGTTGATGATCCGACCCTAGGGACAACGTCCGATGGCCTCCATACGTCGGAATTCGCCCATTTAGACTACGACTCGGACAATGGAGCAGATGATGATTATGCGGCGCCGCTGTTGCCGTATCTGTTTGTACAAGAACAGCAGATGAAGAGTACTAGAATTGGGATGAGGAGTACTACAAAGGCTGAAAGTACAACCAGTTTGCGAAGTACAAGCAATCTGAAAAGTACAACAAACCTCAAAAGCACAACTCAGTTACAATCTACTTCACACTCCAGTAGTGCTCTCACCGCTACTTCCTCCAGCACACTCCTCCTTCGTGCCAAGCTGCAATTGCATCAGAAGGAAAAGCAGAGTGTATCTGTGAAAAACTTCCTTTGTCAAGGGGCTTCTTTTCCTTGTGCTTCGAACACAGCAGAGGTACACACCTGGGAAGATGCTCTTGGGAAGCCTCAGGTGGTGGACCAAATCGTCGCAGGCGCTTGCCCGATCCTGACAGACGAGCCGGAAGATGGAGAGTAACGATGGAGGATGGTACAGAGCATATTTTTTCAGGTAATTACTTGTGCTGGCTGCATCGCGAGGACTCCGTTTTGAGCCTTCTTCTAGGTTGAATGATTACAAGGGAGACCGAACTGGAAGAGAAAGGGCTTGGGAAGACACTATAACATGCACTTTCCCAACATCGGATTTGATGGTATGGAAGGTAATATTTAATTTTTTCCGGTGTTGATGATTTAGAAAATGGGTGCCACGACCTAAGAATAGTTTGGACAGAAATGGACAGATGGTTTTTCTTTTCTCGGATTGTTGGACACGTAAATGTAGATGACTTTTCTTTTCCATAATGTTGAACAGAATTGCTCTTAGAAGAGGTGACAAGGGATAGCCAGAAACAGAAAAGTGGCAGGGCGAAGAGTACGTTGTATGCTCTCTGAAAGCAACATCAGCTTGCGCTTCTGTAACAAGTCTATAACATGGGTCGTACTTCTTGCGTACTTCTGCATGGCTAACGCCGATTGATCTTTGGACTTTTCAGATAAGTACAAAATTCGGGTTGGTTGCAAATAGAGTGAAAAAGAGCAGCTACGAAACTCTGAAAATTGCTCAAAGGGACACGCGAGGTTGTAGTTCTCCAAACAATGAACAGAAGTTGTAGTAAAGACTCTCGAAGTGGAGTAGTACAAACTGGACTTTAGAAGGCTTCAAACGGACATGCATATAAAATAAAGAAATTGGAGTACTGATCAAGTTCTGTATGTGAGGGTAAGGACAGGACGTAAAGGAAAAAGGCACCATGCCTAGTGGCAGGCACGATGCGGACCGCATCCGCCCGATGCTGGGTCAGGACCGGCTCCGCGTCCGGTTCGGCAATTCGGCACCTCGCAAGGTGATTTTCCCACCTACCAGTACTGCTGGTATCCAGCTACAAACCGAGACACCGGCAGAGCTCTCGCTGACACGCGTGCACGGCTATTCAGGCCACATTGGCAACGGCTTGCACTTCATCGGCGAGCGGGAAGTCGTCTATCCGGCAAGCGCTGTCTGCGTTCTGCACGAATTCAGTTCCATCGAACGAGATTCGGCTGACATCGTCGACGATAGGCCGACACGGATGTTGGGAGGGAAAATGGCGATGGCAGGAACAGGCGCTATCGATGACAAGGAAGACGGTTACGGAGGCTGGAGCTTCGATAAGGTGATGATGCATCAGAAGAAGAAAGAAGCAGTTAAGGAGTCTTGCTCAGATGACTTCACGTAAGTACATGATGAAAAGCCCTCATCTTGCTTGTTAAAGTCTATGGTAGATTCTCTAGTCTTATTCCTCTCAACTACGAACATTGTTTCAGTCTATGCTTTATTCTTCACCGTCCATTACTGGTATTTGAGGTACTGGTACTTTTGTTTGCAATGTCTAAACTCCGAAAAAACAGCGACAAGAGAAGTGCGTTCGCAACGGGCGCGAAGAAGGTGATGCAACTTGCCGAGGCGTCAAGAATGCTGCAGCAGAAGGCTGGGATCAAAGTGGGGAAATTGCCGAATAATAGCGGGAAAGCAAAGCAACGCTTTTTCTTCGGCCATTCAACCGAAGTCACATGTCTCGACTACAACCATGCGAAACGCGTTGTTTTAAGGCGTTGAAGAATTGTACATACAACAACAAATTGACAAATCGTAGTACCGAGTCAACATCTAATTTCCGCCAGTGGCCAGGTCGATCCGAAGGGCCCGGGCTTACCTTTTGTCTGCGTCTGGCGTGCAGCGGATATGATGCTTGTTTCCGTGCTTGTCTACCATGAAGCAAGGATATGCTGTGTAGGGATCTCACCGAAGGGTGACTACTTGTTCAGTATGGGCAGAGACGACGCGCACACTGTGGCCATTTGGGCAAGCGGTCAGTTCTTACCAGCAGGAAGTGAGCGGGTGAGGGGTTTTGATGCGGTGCGAGAAACGCTAGTACATCGAATACCGGTCAAAGTAGCGAGCAGTGGAAAAACGCCTTCGTACTCAAAGACTGTGGGATTGTTGATTTGTTTTCCTCGTCTATTGCCAATAGTCGAGTGCTTCGTGAAACTTGGTTCTCGTAGGGGTTGAGATGTCTTCTCATCAGAAACTTCTGTTGATGTGATGATCCTTGCAAGAAGCAACTGGTGTTCGGCAGCCCCTGAGTAGGTCACAGGTTTGGCGGGAAAACTAGAAGGATGTTTGCTCCTTACACCTTACACTTCCAATAGGTTTGCTTCTTCCGTCTCCTTTCTTGCTGCGCCGTTTATGTTTGCGACCTATGATACGGGAGGTTTCGGGAGGGCACATTTGAAGGTATGGCGGTTTCGGCCGCAGCTTAGACACCATCACGGTCATTCCAGACATGGTAGAGGAGGCGCAGACAGTGAGCCGAACTTAGTCGGCAAGGATGCTGCGATAGCAGCTGACGTCCGCGCGATCACAGCAATTGCCTGGACTTTGGAAAGCAACATGCTACTAGCTTGTGCAGACAATGGGTATCTCTACCTCTATGAGGGGACGTCGATCAAGCGTTCGATTCGGGTCTCCCCGGCTTCGCCTCTGACCGGCGTAATTGATTGCTGCATGCCCGAACTCGGGTTTTTGGTTGCGTCGGCGGATGGTTTCCTGCACTTAATCGATGCTAAGATTGCCTCCTTGGCTTCAGGATGGCGTGAGGAGCAGACGGCGAACAGAAATGTTTTATTGATGCTCATCATTAGCCTGATCCATCTTCTGATGCATCTTGGATTTGGGCCTATGATAAGGGGAAAACAGGTCCTCCAAGATACGTCAATCCTAAGGTGGATTTGGGTGGATGGGGTAATCTCATCTAAAGAATGGAAGCTCTTCCAATATTAACCTCGACATTGCTGCTGCTTCCTCCGGCAAACGAAGCACGATATCGAAGCAGACGTTGGAGTCCGTCGGGAGGGATGATCGGCCACTGGAGAATCCCTTTATCAAAGAAAGCTTCCATCTCAGCAGTTTGAGTGGCCCTTCGCATAATCCAAATTTGGTGAAGTTGCTCTGTTCGACGTCGGTCCCGGTGATGCGCAGTTTTTCTCTGGCGAAAGTGGACCCGAAGCACCATCACCATCACCAGCACGACAAGGGTGGTGAACAAGGTGGAGGAGATAAGAAGAAGAGCAAAGCGGGAAGTCGGGGTGCGGCTGATGATGCGGAGACTGGTGGTATGGCTAATTACATGGCAATATATCTACACTCTTCATCTTCACCGTTCTATAGTCGTGGCACGAAGATGCTGCTTCGTGCACTGGCTGAGGCTGTAGCAGAGATCGAAGTGTCGTGACTAAAATGAAAGATCGAGTCGTCGTCTCTTTGCTTGAGCCCCCCAGCAGGCTCTTCATAATGTCGCATTACTTCCTCATCCACCTCGTTTTAGTACCTGGCTCTTTCTAACATCCGTGCAGAAAGTACTTCTGCCACGAGTGGGCATCGTCGGCGTAGTAGTCGCAGTCAGTCCCGTTCTGCTACGGCCTCGCGTGTTGCCAGCTACGTCGAAGGCGCTAGCTCGTCCAGTAGAACGAACACTTTCACTGGACAGGGCCAAAGCGCAGGTGGACCTTCTGGTAGCAAGAGCAGCACTTCAGCGAGCGGACCATCTGGCTCGAAAAAGCCCGGATCCAAAACCGCTGAGAGCTCAGCGTCAGAGCAGAAGAGTTAAGGCTGTCACGACTCTATCTGTACGACGTACAAAGGGATTGATGCTCCTCTAGGGGCGTATTCAAGGCCATAAAGCTGGAAAGATATGCCGCAACAATGATGCATCATGGATGGCTCTAAAGAATCAGTGGCGAAGGCGGAGCATCGTCGTCACACGCGAGCAAAAACCTGATGGAGGTGATTTTCGAAACGATGATCTCGACTTTCCAAAAGGAAACGATCGGACATCGGGTAGCCATTGGTTGCCAAGACTCGACCATCCTTATCGTGGATTTGCTGGACCGATGCGTTTTAGAGGTAGGCCAAGTCGGCCATCGCAATGCGATCGCTGCGGTAGCGCGCCGCGGGAATCTCGTGGCGACGGGGTCGACCGGTGGTGATTTGCGGTTTTGGAATCTCAGAGAAACGCGTGCACCTTTAGTCGGCCGTGTGATTCATTTCTCTAGCGACGAGGCGAGCAATAACGGTGCAATCAAACCGGTAGTGAGCACAGCAGTGAGAGCGAGGGGAGGTGGATCGAAAGAGACCTCCTCGACAGAGGCCTCGATGAGTACACAGTCGCGTGCGGTCCGCAACGACCCGTACAGCACGTTTCAGTTGATGTATGTTACGGCTCAGGTAGAAGATTCGTGGTGTATAAGTTTTGACCTACAGCAGGCACATGTACTTACAACAAAGTCGTATAAAGATCTTTTTCTTAATGTACAGGGCTAGAGTGAAGATTTTTACAACATCGACATCCACTACTTGTCTAAGTACACCTAAATCACTTCTCCCTTTCTAATCTGAACAAGCAAGCAGTGCATGACGAGCACAAGCATTTCGTGCCCCCTGATCGGCGCACGAAGGCCTTACAGGACGATCCCCACTTTACGAACGGTGGTGATCCATTGAAAAATAACTATTTTCCAGCGCCCCGACCAGGTCAGTACGAACCCGGACGCCTGTTAGCTGCAACAGCCGGTAGGCAATTGAATTTCGTCTATGCAGCTGGCGGAAACACTGCGGATAGGGACATGAATCCTGCTGGTGCTGCCGCTGAGTTGTACTTAAGACTACGTACAAAGTGGCACCATAGTTGAAGATTCATCTGATTCTTAGTATTATGACATATGCTCACGACTTCTACTGTGTACAAAAGTTTTTTCTCCACAGAACAATAGCACCTCCTCTCCCGCACCCGCACAACCCTCTCTACTAAGTCTAAGTTCCAACTTCGAGTCTCTTTCCCCACGTCGCAAGCACACGCATTTGCAGTATCGTGGCGGCAGCTTTGTCGAAGATCCAGACCCGACGTTGGCGCGAAAAGCGTTGATGCGACCTAGCGGGATTTCTGCCCTCGCGTTTTGTGAAGACTATCTGGCGATCGGCTTCGATGACGGTTTTCTTCGTATTTTGGACTTTCCAGCGCTGCAGCCAGTCGATATGCGGCCACTGGCGGAGGAACAGATTAGCTGTTTAACGTTTTCTCCGAACGAGCAACTGTTGATCGCGGGATCGTTTGATCAGTTGATCTACGTATTGGACGTGCGAAAGCGCAAGTTGCTGGCCACGTTGAGTGGAAATACCAGTTCCGTGTTGAAAGTTGCTGTGAGTCACGATAATCATGTGCTGATGACCAACAGCAGTGACGGGGCATTGTTTATGGGGTGCTGTTGAAAATGGAAATTGTAGTTCTTCGTCGAACAGGAGTTTGCTTCTGCTTGGTGTGGGTTGTCTTCCTTCGATTTCTTACTTATGGTCCCTCATATTCCACAACTTCAATTTTCGATTCCATTCCTCCTTCTAAGTTCCTATATTTCGACCTACGAACGTTCGAACGCTTCGGCAAAACGCGAGATTTCCGCGATGTGAGTTTTAACCACGCAATGAACCAAAGTTGGGCCACTCAGGGTATTTGGGCTAGCCAGCATGCATGGACGAGTCTTACGATGAATTGCGTGGCCTCGTTCTCCGACATAGCATTATGGCTGTTCTGATTTAGTAGGTTCAACTAGGGTTATCTTAGACTTAGTGAAGGAGTCAACTAGAAATACGCCTTTTTAGCTCAAACCTGAAGAGGATCTCTAACCTGAGTCACTGGCGATGATGACAACCTGTTAAAGTTGTTTCCCTATCCTGCCACCTTCGAGAAAACGCTGTGCAAGGACTACTCTGGTCATGCCGGCAACGTTCTGCAGACGTTGATATGGCAAGATGATGTCGGAGATGGTGTGGTCAATCAGTATACGAGTCAACCAGAGAGTCCCAGAATGAACAACGCTGCCGCAGCAGGTGGGGGTGGCGCAACCATAGCAAACATAGGTCGACGCGGAAGCTCGGCCGGTCCTGGCGCCAATAACAACGCTAAAAACAACAATGCTGCTGCAGAGCCTCAAGCACCAGCTGCACTGTCGTATCTAAAACCAGCTACCAGCTATCCGAATGACCCTGTGTTAAGGCTCCCGCTAATCCATCTCGTTGTGGATCATTCCTTAAAAGTGCTTAAAGCACTCAAGTCAAACAACCGGTTAGTTTTCACCGTATAGTCTAGGCGTTGGTATGCTCGCCAATGATAGACTCCATGGAATGGAATTTCACCTCTATCCCTAGGCTTATCCCTTAAACGTCTACATTTACATACAAGGGAAAAGCCACACGCATATTGTACAGGAATGGATTAATTATATATGTGGCTCGAACTTTGGCGCGAGTGTCGTTGAATCTGCGAGCAGAAGATCCGAAAGTGCGGGTATTATCCGCGGATAGTAAGGGTTTGCTATTCGAGTGGGAAGTGGTCACGCCGTTGATGAAAAGAGATCCGACAACGATACAGAACGCTGAGAGGTATAGTTAAGAAAGAGTGGACCGTTGGGAAAGAGTGGACCGTTGGAAGGAGTTTGTTACTGCTGTCAAAGAGGAAGCTTCTTTTCACATGAAGCATCAATTATACCCAAATTCTCAAGACCCATCGTCCTTGATGAATTTCATTCATCAATTCATACCCTTCTCACTACTACAACCTAAAAATTATCAATTGTGATTTTCTTTCTCTTTGTCGCGTACCACGCTCATCGTCTATCATTTGCTCTCAACAAGTGTTGTGTGTGTGTTGGTGTTGTGTGTGGGTGTGTCGTGTGTTTGGTTTATTGTGTTGTGTTGTTTTGGAAAAGTGTACAGTTATTAACTGTAGCTAAGTATAATTATGATCTTCCATAATTCATCTTACTCCTGCTACTTGTACTTACATGTCTCTAATTCCCATTCCCGTGGGAGGATAAGGCTTGGGTGAAGCAGAGGATTGAGCAGAGAAAGCGGGAATTGGAGGGCATGCAGAGTAAGCGGTTGGTCACGGTCTCAAGAGCGGACTTGCAGCGCAAATGGAACAGCTTTGACGTGCGCCGCATGCCTCTCTACAACCCGCCGTGGGCTAGATGGCAGGACCAGATTCCGAACGGGGAACAAAGAAATCAAAAGCCAGAAGAACACGATGGCGGAGTCTTTAATTATGATGTGGACAATTATGAGTATAGATAAGATGTTTTTCTAGTTAGCTCTTTGTTTTTTCTAGGCAGGCCTGCTCCACCAACACTATAGATAAGATGGGTAGAAGGAGAGGCATAAATGCCTTTCTGTATAAGCTCGTGGAAGTCACTTGCTGTCAATGCAGACGAATCCGCGACCTTCTAATCCAAAGGAGCAGGTCCCTCTGGCATTGTACTGACCCGACACGAGCGAAAAATAGCGAAACTTCCTTCGCGACTGCCGCACTCAGCGCAATCTAGACCACCATGGGCTCTCCGACACGAACCCCAAGAACCACCTCGGTTCTCGCGCGAGAATTACCAACCAAAACCGAACCCTTGGGATTGGCCAACGTGAGAGCGTTATTGAGGGGAAAGAACTGACTGCAGAGAAAGTGAGACTTTATGAACGGATCGCTATCCTCATTATTGGAATCTATTTAGCTACACTAGTACGAAAAAGACGACAAAGATACTGCAACAAGCAAGGAGTCCGCTTTTACGAGGATACCGTATTATACACCGCTAGTTCTATGAAAGGTTACCACGACGAAGAGATAGTCACTCGCGTTGTCAGGAATTGATCTGACGCAGGCGATGACAATACTGTGGTAGCATTTGCTTGACAATGTTGGCGATGCACAGGAATAATTACTCCCGAAAAGGAACGAAGACAATCTTCGCTTTGTGTCGATCTTTTATGGTGTTCAGCTCGCGAAGCGAAGTGATCACGAAAACAGTGGCGGAAATGAATATATCAAAGCAGCATCCAATGAAATCGAATACAGTCTTGAGTAAAGGAGTTTCGGGTGTAAGGCAGTAGAACAGAACAAACAAGCAAGCTATAGAAGCGTTCTTGCATAGTTCTTATTTTTATGCAAGCGAAAATGAAATGAAAAACCCACGAGACGAGAGTCAAGAAATGACAGGGTGAAGCTGGTAGACTAAAAGTAAGTGGCTTCTATAACTTTTTTGACTTATGATCTTGTAATGGGAAACAAATATACGTAAAAAATAGTTCTTCTTCATTAGGAACGCAGCAATTAGTTTCTGAATGAGTTGTATTCCCTACAAAAATTGATTAGTTAGGTAAGAGTTTTATCAAAAAATGGCGGGCGACGAAATCTTGATTCGGCTGACGACTGGTGCGGGGCGCACCCGCTTTGCTGTGCCGGCAACCGCGACGTTGAAAGACTTAAAGGAGAAGATTGAAGCGGTATTCATTAATTATCCAGCTCCGTGTGCAGACGACGTTTTATTTGACAGAAACTAGGCCTGTTTCGTTGATCAGCATGGTCAGCTACTTTCATTCTTCTACTCCTAGACACCATATTCTTTCATCTTTCATCAAATTTCCCACAGCAAACCTCCGTTCCTTGGACGCAACAGCAGCTTTGCTTTGAGGGGAATAAGCCTGTGCCTAATACTCATGGATCCCGTATCGCCGAGATGGGTATGCGGAATGGCACCATGCTCTTTTTGTCGAATTCGAAGAATGCGGAAATCAAAGCGACTGTTAGCAACAAAGAAAACCTTCTGGCCAAAAACGATGCAGCAAGCAGACCGATGAGTAGTGCATCAACAGTAGTTGAAGCTGGCGGCAGCAGTGGTGCTCAACAGCCAAGTTCAAGTAGTGGAGGAGCAACGTCTAGCAGTTCCTCCTCAGCACCCGTTGCTGCTGCTCCGAAAGGAAATCCTGGCCTAGTTGGTGGGTATGGCACGACGTCGGGAAAAGAAGTGCCTGCGTCAGCTTTAGCCGCAATTACAGGAAGCTCAACTGCAGGAGGAAGCAGCTCGTCATCCGCGTCACCGAAGAAACCTGTCGAAAGCACTGGCATTCTGGTAAACGGAAAGCCGATGGAACTAGGTATTGCTATTGACCTTTACATCCTCCTTACATACTCTAGTGAAGGTAAAACGAAGGTAGAAGACTCTTTTCAAAAGAACACACAAACCATAATTGCAATTATGCTACAACTAAGAGGAAATTCCATCACGCCAGTGAATTTTTTAGCATGATGAACGCTTTTTCCCACATGCTTGCACACAGCGAAAAAAAACGATCCGACGCACGTTTCTTTCGAGAAATTTTTACAGCAACGGCGGTTTGAAACGGGTTCCCTTCCCGGCATGCAACGCTATTTGCCCGTTAAAATTGTGAGGGGGAAGCAAAACAAACTACCGACGCCGATTACGCTAGCGCACCAGAAGTTCCGACACGTGGATTATCTAGAGTACTACTGTCATTGTAGACGAGCACTTGTGCCTCCCTTCCACAATGAAAATTCATTAGTAAATATTTTTCATGTAGGTGCATGAGTCTTTGTGCATGTGCGCTTCTCCTACTCGGCCACGATGATCAAATGCTCCTAGGTACATGAACGAAGCTGAAATTCAAAATTTCGTTGGTCACTGGCGATCAAAGGACATGATGGAGCAGCGAGGCGGGTATATGTATGGCTACTACAGACCTGACAAGCACGTAGAGCTGGGAGTACGTGCTGTAATGGAAGGTACTTTTTTTTTCTATAGACGTACACGTAGTTTTTGGCTTTGTCTTTTTGTGGACAAAACAAACATGTTCTTTATTTCTATCCGAAGAACCAAGTACTTCTATCATCCTACCATTTTTCCCTTCTCCCTTCTCTCCCCCACACAAATACAGCAATCTACGAGCCTCCACAGAGTGAACAGGACCATGTTACGTTTTCGAATTTGCCTGACGACGGTACGAAAATAGCTGACCAGGTTGCAGAAAGACTAGGACTGGAGAAGATTGGGTGGATTTACACCGCGTTGCCAAAGGATGAACTGCTCAACTCCCAGGAAGTGTTGGAAATCGCGAAGCTGCAACAAAAGTACTACTCGATTATACTCTGTTTTGATCATGATGAAGTGACTATGCTTACGGCCATCTACATCTACATATCCAACATTCTACTGATTTTAAGCAACATGCTGAATTTCTACAGCAAAACACTACTACTCCACATGATGGCGACAAGTTGAGAGAATACCGTCTGGCTACATGCGTACTTAACCGATCCATGTACATCTACATATCCAACATTCTACTGATCTATTTAAGCAACCTACATCTTATATTGATTTTTCCACCAAGTTTTTGCTCGTTGGAGAGAAGCAAATCGAAGGATGACCATATCATCTGATCCAAGGTATCGTACTTCTGCGCATTACTCTGGTTACGAGTGCAGCACGTTTGTCACGTGTACAGTACGTCCAGATCCAGAAAACGGAGGAAATCCAGACACGAAGGTCTTCCAATGTAGCGACCAGGCTAGCGCGATGTTGCGAGACGAATGCTTGGACCTCGATAACTTATGCTTTGTCGTCTTCCACAAGTGACATACTACTGCTACTACATACTCCACAAGTGACATACTCCACAAGCGACATCCTAGAATGGGTTTACTACTACTACTACTACTACTACATATTTTTTTGTTCGAGAGAATATATGACTTTGGTCTTCTTCGGTCTCATTCCTTTACCTTTTGGAAGAATTTAGGGTTTCTAAATACCCCAGACCCGAAAAGCATCAGAATCCGAAAGGGTGGAGACGGAGAGGTGATGCCAGCAGTCTTGCAAAGCGGTAAGGATGCAGGTACCTTTGACCCGGATTGGTTTATCGTGAGAGTAAACGATGGTGTGCCGCGTAAGCGCAAGAAGAGCATCTTCGCCCACAGTAAATTTCCAGTGGAAAACCGAGGACCGGGTAGCAAGCAGCAAAATCGTCAGGCTTTGCGCGACTACATTTAAGAAATTGTGAATTTTGGAAGTTACTGTTTCGTCGATTGGCTAAACTACCTCTCAAAAACTTTTCCATTTGTCAGTCTTGAGAGGAATGGTTTCATCGCTGACTAGCAAGGGAAATTACATTCATTCATTCATTCATAATAAGGCTAGAAGTACTATGATAGTTACACAATAAATGGTGTAGTTCTTATTTTGCTTGTTGTAAAGGGAAATTACAGCCTTGTAATGTCTAGTACTATGATAGTTACACAATAAATGGTGTAGTTCTTTTGCTTGTTGCAATTGCTTTTCCTTCCTCTTCTAAGCCAAGCGCACTGTCAAGACCGGTCCGGGTCCGAACTGGGCACGCTTCGCGGATTTTCATTTGCTAGTCTGGCTCGCGCACGAATTCGATTTGGAAACGGTGTACCAGTTGTGCGATTCTATTCGGGATAGAAAAGACGTGCTGCCAGGAATCATAGAGATGGTGGAAAGCGTCTAGTACTTTGCGTCTAGCAATTTGCCGTACGAAGCAGTGCTCTAGCACCAAATGCCTCGTTTGAGTAGCTCCTGCTGGGAATGCACTACCCTAAGGCCATTTTTTTGAAGGAATACCCATACTGCTAGCTCGAAAGATCCAGGACGCTCTTACGACTCCCCTACTGAGCAGCGTGCTACCGATCGAAGGATCCAGGACGCTCTTACGACTCCCCTGCAGGAGCCTGGAATTGAAGAACACGCAAACAACCTATATTTTTCAGTTGTAGTCGGATGCTTCATTTCCAAAAGATGAATAGCTTTGATTTCTCATGTTTGTACTAGGATGAGTGCGTCTATATGATCTTCTCCAACTCAAGATATTATGTGAGTGGTTTCCCGATGTACTCTGAGAAGTAGTCGTTTTTGTGAGCATTTTGGGTAGTATTTTTGACTTGTACCTCCTCATATTTATAACCACAAAGTCCGGTGACCACAATTATGAGACATTTCTAGATGAAGATGGTTCCCTTGTAGAGATGCGGAGGGTGTCGACCACAAAGATCTCATTATGATGATGTACATACTTGATTATGAAATGAACTTTTTTATTGTTTCCTCTTTAGGAGGAGCGAGGTCGTCTCTGCTAGTACCGCAGACACGATTCTTGTGCAGCTTGCTTGCGTGTCAGCAGTCATTTCAACGGACAAGCAGATTCCACAAGACAGCAGGTGTCCTCCAAGGAATTTTTCAAGCACAGATGATACTTTTATATGTTTTTTGATGAACATCACGGGAGACACCAGACAGGGGTTATCTGCCAGACAGGGGTTCTTGTTACATCTTCATCATCATTTTTACAAGGAAGAGAAGACTTGAAACGTTCAAGTCGGGTTGGCATGTTTGAAATGTTGACGGCGCCTGTAAAACTGTGAGTGAAGAAAAGGTCGTGAGTGAAGAAGTACTTGAACGGAAACCAATACAGAGATTGATACGAGTCCGAGCGAATGCTCAATTTAATCCTTGCTAAGATTGGTAGACTACGCTACGAAGTAGATTGCAGATTACATACTAGAATTAGGGTTGTCGCTGATGCAAGCAGATAAGTGACCAAAGAAAAAGACCCTATGAGATATTACTTCAGATAGAAGAGAGAGGACCAAAGTCGACATCACCCTACAAGATATTACTTTGGCCTCGAACGCTCATCCCCTCATAGGTGAGCCAACTCCTATCCTATCCTACTTTGTTCCTACAACATATTCCCTTCTGCGGCGAGATTGATCTCTATCTTCTGTCGATCCGGTGCTCAATGCGCAGGGCTGAGGCGGGAGCCCCTCTGAATCTGAATCTGGTTCCTTTCTTGTTGTCTAGAGAATGCAGCTAAACCCTGCGGACGGCGGATCACATCCTAATCCTAATCCTAACCCTAATCCAGTGAAAAGAACATGGCGGCAAACGACATGGCTGAGGAGGAGCGCTGTCTAAGGCGTCGTCGCAGACGGTCCGTTCGCGGGAGAGCTTTGCTATTCGCGGTCGTCGCAGACGGTCCGTTCGTGGTGCCCGTGCAACTCGTGTTGCCCGTACTGAGCGATCGAACAGCGGGGGATGGCGCGGTGAGGGACGGAGCAGTGGAGGACGGCGCGTTTGTAAACGACGGCGCAGCGGCGAGGGACAGCATACTGACTGACGGTGCGGCGATCGACGACTCACCGAGCGACGGTAATGCGAGCGACCGAGCAGCGGAGGCGGACTTGGTGAGCGAGGGCGCAGCGACTTGGGCACCAAGGACCGACGACGTGAGCGACCGAGCAGTGAGCGACGACGGCGCAGCGAGCGTTGACAACGCGCTGAGCGACGGCTTGATCGGCCGAGCATCTTCTAGCGACGAGCGTGCACCGACGACTCGCGACCGAGCATCTATCGGCGCCTCAAGGAGCGACGATTTGCTGAGTCCCGGTGTCGTCAGCGATGCGGAAGTCTCTGAGCAAAGCATTCCCGTGATTGCCGTTGACAACACTACAACGACCTCAGTTCCATCTGGATGGCATATCCCGGTTGCTGCGTCATCTACGCATGCTAACAGAACCAATGCGACGACGCAGGTTAGCAGAACCAACGCGACGACCAACGTGAGTAGCAGGACTACGTCAAGAACGGGGAATCATGCGATGAATACAACACATGCGGGCAACTCGACTGCCCATAGCAGGACTAACTCTAACTCTAGTGCTCACAACACGCCTAATTCCACGGCTCACAACACGCCTGATTCCAGTGGTCACAACACGCGTAATGCCAGTGCTCACAACACGCCTAATTCTACGGCTCACAACACGCGTAATTCAAATTCCACTGCGCAAAATAGTACCAGCTCGACTGCTCACAACTACAGTGGTAATTCCACTACTCACAACAGAACGAACTTAACTGCTCACAATAGAACTAACTCTAGTGGTCAAAATATTGCTAAGGGTAGTGGTCAAAATATGACCAATTCAGGTGTTCCCAGCAGACTTAACTCCACTAGCGCGCAAAATCACACAGTGACAAGGCATAGTACGACTACAACGCACAGTACCGCGTCGAGAAACACAACGACGACAACACCAGCAACAGATAGCACTACTGCATCCACGAGCACTGTAGCAGCGTCAGCAACAGCTACTTCTCCAAACTCTACTACCTCGCCTGCGACTGCTCCAAAGTCTACTACCGCGTCTGCGACTGCGCCAGACTCTACTACCTCGCCTGCGACTGCTCCAAACTCTACTACCTCGCCTGCGACTGCTCCAAATTCTACTACCTCGCCTGCGACTGCTCCAAACTCTACTACCTCGTCTGCGACTGCTCCAAACTCTACTACCTCGTCTGCGACTGCTCCAAACTCTACTACCTCGTCTGCGACTGCTCCAAACTCTACTACCTCGTCTGCGACTGCTCCAAACTCTACTACCTCGTCTGCGACTGCTCCAAACTCTACTACCTCGTCTGCGACTGCTCCAAACTCTACTACCTCGTCTGCGACTGCTCCAAACTCTACTACCTCGTCTGCGACTGCTCCAAACTCTACTACCTCGTCTGCGACTGCTCCAAACTCTACTACCTCGTCTGCGACTGCTCCAAACTCTACTACCTCGTCTGCGACTGCTCCAAACTCTACTACCTCGTCTGCGACTGCTCCAAACTCTACTACCTCNCACTAAAAGTAGCCGATATGGAGGAAAGTATCGCTCTCTCTCTCATGGCAGCAGCGGACCTCCCAGCGTCGACAAAAGTTCACGCTGATCTACAAACCTTGGCTGTAGTAGCAGAAGTGGAGAACAAAGAAGAGAGGAGCAGTACTTCGAAACAGGCAGACGTACTATACGAGGTGAGCAGTACTTCTAAACAGTCAGAGGTAGACGAATTCAGTGCTTCTGCTAGACAAGCAGAAGTACTAAACGAGAAACACAGTACTTCTAAACAGTCAGAGGTAGACGAATTCAGTGCTTCTGCTAGACAAGCAGAAGTACTATACGAGATGAGCAGTACTTCTAAACAGGCAGAAGTACAACGAGACGAAAGAAGAGTGGCAGAAACGCAAGTAGAATCCATGACGGAGACTCCAAGCACTACTAATTCTGGAACAAGGCATGACAATATAAGTCGGCGTTTGCTACTGCGAAGGCATGGCCTCGGAAAGCAGGCTGTTGTCTTGGAGCCAGATGGGAACACAGATGCGTCAGGAACCTCTATGCTGGCTTCTACCCAACCTGGAGTCGATGTTGACGAAAGGTCAGTAGGACATGCAGGAGAAAGTATTATAGATGAAGGTCCTCCTCGTCGTCTCTCTTTTAGGAAAGAGTTCGATGGGTCTGCGACCTCCGAGTTTCTGGAGGATGCCACCTCGACGCCATCTGCGATTCTTCTTGAGCAAAGTAGTGATAGCAGAGAGGAAAGTAATCGCGGACATGCTTCAACTGCTGAGGAAGAACCTACGTCAACAGTTGAAGAAAAAAGGATAAAAGTCGATGCTGTCGTAGCAGTTGATGCAGAGAGCAGTGCACAATTGGATACCTTCGAAACTGCAGTGACGAAAGCCATAGACGACGGGCAGTTCGAGCAAGCGCTAGCTATCGAAGTCCATGACAGTCTCAATGCTTCTTTCGTTCCTCATACGCTGAAAAACGGTGAAATCCATCGAAGAAAATCCGGAAACAATTCTAATAATTCTACGAAGAAAATATATCCACCAAATATAGTATCCGGCAAGAACTCCAATAATTCGACCACCAATAATTCTTCTCCTTCAGCTTCTCCTAGTAATAATGCTCCATCATCACGGAAAAGCGGCATTTCATCAACTTCGATTGCCAAAAAAGAGCAAGATAAAGAGGCTGAAAAAAGCGAAGAAAATGCCGCAGGAAGTGTAAAGAGTACAACTTCTGAGAAAGCAGGTGCTGATCAAGATGAGTTATGAGAAATTGTAAGCTCCTGTGCTTAACAACAAGATGCCAGACCTTTGTCGGTTGATAATTTAGTCTAATATTCTTTTCAATTTCCATTTTTGGGTCCGACGACTAGAAGGACTTGCATATCTTTGATATTGAGGGTTCAACTTTGCTTGCGCTAATATCCTCTATGCTGCTTCCCGCGATCACGATCGTTGCTTTCTGCATTTTGAGCGCGGCTGCCGTTTACTATGGTCTCCTCAGTCAAGCGGGATCTGGGACGCAGTAAGTCTGGGCGGAAGCGGATGAATGTAAGTTCTGTTCTACTACAAATTGAATGAAGTTTGTAGTAGAACAGTACTTCCATTCATCCGCTTTACTACTTACTACTACGTTCAGTTGCAACGGGGCGTAAATCTATCAAAAATGCATAAAGGATCGTGGTGGGGTCGACTATAAGTAGTACCCCTTTCTTACATACTAATAGCAGTACCTACGAGATGCCCAGAGTAAGTACGCCTTTTCCTTTTCGTCGGACTGTAGGTGTCCTCTTCTTTCTCCTCTCTCTTTTTTGATGTCCTATTTTCCTAGAAAGAAGGTCCATGTCGTGGTGGTGCTGGGGGGCACTGAATACTTTGCTGTGCTGTTGGGAGACATCTTCTTCGTGTTTAAATTTTTAGTGACCCCGCGGTGGCATCAATGACAAGTTAATTTCGCAAAGATCAAAAGAGAACGAATGACAGTCCAACTTCATTTTCTTCTCATGATTTCTGAATCACCACTTTATTTACGCAGAAAAAACATGATTGGACGATCCGGGTTACACATCTCCTGGTGTGTACACTGCCAATGTCTCAAAGCCTTGAACTCGTGTTTGTTCTGGAATGAAATCAGATTTGGCAACGAAGCAATATCTACTAAATACTCCATACTATGCGGGGCCAAGATACTCAACGCGAGGGATAAAATTGAATTTGAATAGGTTATGGAACAAGAGCAGCACGGGCTATGGACTCGATCCTGATGAAGCTAGAGGAGCATGTTGAATGATTACATATTTGGTATTCCGCGTTGAAGAACAGCAAGGACACGGAGAGCGTTCACAAAAACAAGATTAAGTGACTGATTGCTTGATGCTATTTTGAACTTTAGTCTAGATCGCATCTGTTGTTTAAGGGCGACCTGATTGGTATAGACCAATAGCAGACGAGAGAAGTATTTTTTAACAGAGACCATTGCTGTTTGTATTGCAGTGTTTACTCTTGTACTTTTTAAAAAAAGATCAATCATCACTAGAAGATTCACTTCAATCTTGTAGCTCGAAATCATGGACGAAGAATACGACGTCATTGTTTGCGGCACAGGCCTGAAGGAATGCATCCTGAGTGGGCTTTTGTCTGTGTCTGGAAAGAAGGTCCTTCATCTCGATAGAAACAACTACTATGGCGGAGACTGTGCCTCGCTCAATATCACGAACCTATGGGCAAAGTTCAAACCCGGAGAAACAGCGCCAAAGGAACTTGGTAGGCAACGATGATATTAGATGGGCAAGTAGCGATCATTATGTTGATGTTATTTTATTGACGAGGGACAGCATTATCATAACGATGATTTTGTACAATCATTTGAGACGCACCAATGAGGATGATCATAACGTGATTCTCAATGGTTGGATGGCATGCATTCGTAGATGAAAGACACTATCTGAAACTGACATCCCAGACAGTTTTGAGCTTGTTCGTTGTGAGATAGGTAAGTACTTCTACTTACGTTGCGAAATAAACACCCTATCCCCTGCTTAGGCCCGAACCGAGACTGGAATGTCGACTTGGTGCCGAAATTCGTTATGGCGAACGGCCTGCTTGTGAAGATGCTCCTGCACACAGGTGTCACAAGATACCTCGAGTGGAAAAGCGTAGATGGTACCTCTATAGTCTACGATTTATTCTTTTTCAATCCTGATCATGTAAGATTTTTCTTTTTCAATTCTGATAATGTATTCTATCAACCTGGTTGATAAGTGAACAGTTGGCTTAATGGTTTAGGCGTTGGCCTGTTCCCTACTTATCACTGGCACTTCATGAAAAACCAACATGAATTTATTTCCACTAACTTCGGCTAACTACTAGCACTTTTTCACTCATCTACTTCGTAACATGCAATTATTCTCTGACCACCAGGCAGCTACGTGTATCAGTACCAGGAAGGTGGCTTCTTTAGTTCCGAGAAATTCATTCACAAAGTGCCGGCAAACGACAAGGAAGCACTGAGCTCGAACTTGATGTCACTACTGGAGAAGAATCGATTCAAAAACTTCTTCCAGTTCATTATGGGTATTAACATTCAAGAAGGATACAGGTCAAACTGTGGACGGCGAGCCAACTCCTCTCCTATCCTAAATCTTGGTCAGATTGCCGAATGGATTCACGTCATCAATATTTGAGGTTGAGTTTTGTAGTTTCCAAGTAGATTTATGAATAGTGTCTCGCACTTTGCGGAGGACGAGTAGACGAGACATGAAAAAGTATTGAGGTCTTACTACGTAAGTATGTTGAACTTGATGAATGCTACTCTGGTTTTGCTGCAAGAACGATTTCGTCTGACAATGAACCACAATCCGAACCTCTCCACCACCTTCAGCCTGGGACGACAATGATCCGAAGACGTGGCAGGGTTGTGACGGCACCCGACACTCAATGGCACAAGTCTACGAGAAGTTTGGGCTGCAACCGCTCACTATAGATTTCCTGGGGCATGCTGTATCTCTCTATGTCGACGACAATTATCTCCGGTGTGCTTGCGGCCCAACGATAAGGAAAATGAAACTGTATATATATTGCAGGCTCTGCAGTTGTAGCCTCTTATGTCCGCCTATAGGTGGATTCTCCCCAACCTAACCTCAGTTTTGTACTGCACCTTGTTAAAAAGAAGTGGTGGTGAAATGATAGCAAGCACCTTAAAGAAGAACAAGAAGATACAGCATAAGTTGATGTCCGATAATACCTCAAATGTTTAGGTACATGGAGAGTATCGCGAGGTATGGAAATTCGCCATTTATCTATCCCATATACGGTCTTGGCGGACTGCCAGAGGGGTTCTCGCGCTTGTCCGCGATACACGGTGGCACCTACATGCTAAACAAACCAGTGGACGGCTTTGAATATGACGAGAACGGTATCTTTGTGTGGGATTGTCCCATACCAACCTCGCCTAAACAATAATTTTTACTCCAAAATAGATACTTCCATGAGTGCTTCAAAAAAACATCTGAAGTACCTATCATTTAGTAGAGACTTGATGTAGTCAACCTCGCCTGAAAAGCTTCTACTCCGAATCATCGAGTAGAATCTCCCGATCTCCCACCCAACCAGGTAAAGTATGCGGTGTTCGAAGTGGGAACGAAGTAGCAAAAACCAAATTGGTTATATGTGATCCGTCCTATGTGCCAGAAAAAAAGAGGAGACCAACAGGCCAAGTGATTCGGGCAATATGCATCTTGGGTGCGCCAATACCGAACACCGGAGACGTCAGTTCGGTACGGATATGTTTTTTTTTGGAATTTTTAGGATTAGGTATTCCTTAGTGTTTCTTTATTGTTACCTTAAGTCGAGCTTGCTATTATTTGGAAATAGGATTTATTATACCAACATTTATGATTTATGTTTCAAAACTGAACAACAACAAAGAAGAAGATGCTCACCGAACATCACTTCGTTACAGGTCCAGATAATTTTGACTGCGTCCCAAATGAAGAGAAAAACGGACATTTATGTCATGATGGTATCAAATGCGCATATGGTAGCAGCGAAAGGGAAATACATCGCAATAGTGAGCACAACAGTGGAAACAAACCGGCCACAGGAAGAAATTAAGCCGGCACTGAAATTGTTGGGTCCGATCGAGCATATTATGTGCACGGTATTATTGATAGGATTTTATACAACGGTTTTCATGCAAGAGCAGATGGATTTCAAGAAGTACAGTTTCAAGAAGTAGAGTTCCCATCATCTCATATTCGAGTTTTGTTCACACTAACGTCTTTGCAACGCTTCATTTTCTCCGCATTGAAAACCCCTTTTTTTCCTACACTTCACATTAGTCACCACACGCTCTCCCTAACCCTCCCCAACCCTCCCTAATCAACCCACAGTCAAAAGTTTCCCTGATCCTCCCTAATCAACCCACAGTCAAAAGTTTCCCTGATCCTCCCCAACCCGTCCCTAACCCGTTTCTCTACACCATGAAAGGTTTCCACGCTCTATGCCCCTTCCGACAATGGAGAGGACAACGTGTATGTCACGAGCAGCTACGACGCAACGAGTCACTTCGAGAGTGCGAGTGTAGATGTAATGGCAATGTGGAAAAAGATTTTTGGGGAAGAGCTGGAGCTCACGGTCCATAAGGATGCGGAAGCGGAGTGAACAGACGAACATCTTCTAGAGTAGAAGTTCTAGTAAATCACTTAATACTAGCACTATTGCGTTTAGTAGTGCCTGTAGTAATGCCCGGCGGATGCTTACACCGGATTGATATTACATGGTTCGAGAAGATAATTGTTCCTGCTCTAGATCAACCTCGATGCCTGTTCATGTATTGCGGTTGCAATGATCTTCAAAGGTGGAGCAAAGTGATGGCCTCATCCGTGAGTCGTTACAACATCATTCACAGACGCGGTCTGTCCAGGCGAGGACGGATGGTGATATTATGCCTCCACAGGATGTCTCCGTTAACATCTCGAAGATACAATTCTGAGAAGATACATCTTCAAGATACATTTATAGAATTCTGATCAAACACATGGTCTTACGATCGTGACCCCAATAGGTAAATTTAATCTAAGAAAACAAAAGTAGTAGAAATGATAGGTAGGAATGAGTCAACATCTACTGTTGTAGCGACGCGAAGTGGACGAAGTAAGTAAGAGAAAACTGCTCATCCGCCGATGACCGACCGCACATTACAGCTGTGCTGCTATGAGGTCCCTCTCCACTCAGGCAAACGCAGCACCTTCCCCACCTTTTTTCCATGAACACATGAAGATGATGTCCAAGATGGTGATCATGTGTGCATACGCTGCTCTTGGAGCCCCGCACGCCGACACCCTTTTCCCATCGCACCCCAAAGCTACAAAGATCGCACCCCGCAGCAAAGACTTTTGCTGTCTTCGTTCGATTGTTGATGATGTAGAGGAAATTTTTTTAGTCATCAGCATTGGCATCCATACTGGGATGAAGTGAAAGCCACTGGTTTTGAGTGGCGGCATCAGGAGACCATGGCGACAACCACGAGCGTCACTTGTGTTCGGCAAATGTCACCAAAGTTCATGAAGCAGTTGTTTGCAGTCTGGAAACGACCACTTATATTAGACTAAGCAAGTAGAGCTAGGAGACGAGAGAGTGACTCCCGTGGACTAGAGCCAGGTCTTTTTGATTATTCCAACATCAGATTCATCAAAAGATGCGTTGCTTGCTTGCTCTTTTTGCTTTCTTGGCTCCTTGCATGGTCGTCGCACGCCGTGTGGAAGTCGACGAGCATGGCAATACCAGAGTCATTGGGAATATCGGAAACAGGACGAAGAAAATGTTCGAGTCGCCCTTCTTGGAACCCGCTCAAAGCTCGCCAGATGAAGTTGCTGTGGAAAGTCGCAAGGGTGCTGTGGAAAGCCGTGAGACTGCCCCAGAAAGCCGTGAAGTTGCCCCGGAAAGCCGTGAGGAAGATATTGACGATCTCGATATGGATGACGATGAGCAGGACAACTACGAGTACCAATCTCCAGGTGCACCGGGTGTTGCTGGCGACCCTGTCGTGGGCTCGTTCATGGAGGAGGCGAACACAACAACTTACACGCAGAAGCAGGCTGTCGGCAGCGGGGTATTTTTGAGTGCTCAAATTTATATAGATATTTTTCAAATGCCTTTTCCTGTTGCTTTTCTACTCTGATGCTACATTTTGTGATGGCAGTCAGAATCGTGATGATCTTCCTTTTTATCCAGCTGACTTATGGATCCACCATGATCTGCGTCACTATCCTTTTTCTCAATGCTTTCATCATTTGAGCAGCCATCAAAATTGGGAACCTTGAACTTAATCAGGTATGGCTCAGCGCAGAGGATGCGGAGAAGCTGCGCAAATTGGTGAATTTAATAGACGTTGAGAAAATGCGCAGTGTCGGAGAGGGTTTGGTCGTTTTGGCTAATGCATTCGGAGGAGGAGCTGGGGTTTTGAATGAAGCAAATACCGGCAACGGAAACGCCGAGACCGCAAGCGGGAACGAAATAGCCGGGTCCGAGGCGAGTGCTGATTCACCGGCTTTGCAGCCAAATAATGACGTCGAAACGGCCGATTCAGATACGATCGGGGAGAAGCATTAAGAAGACACGCCTCCACCTGCAGAATCGGCGTCCCGCAACGGCGCATCTTCACCGATCACGAAACTGATTTCTTTCGTTTCATATGAAAAAGACAGGATAAGCCTCGACAGGAAAGCCACCGGTTTGGCCAAGCGGTACGGTGCTGTTGTCCGGTGGAGAGGCTGACACAAGTGAGAAGTTAGATCACCTGAGCAAGGCGCAGTTCAAAGACGACACTGAAGCTCGCAATTTTTGGGTCTAAGCAGCAAGAAGAGAGGACTTCTCCAAGCAGAGTCAAGGGCTACCTCGCGCGCGCTTTGTCGTCGTATAGTCGATTGTTGTCTCCGAAACTTCTGCAGACGGACAATGACAGCGCGTTCTCTCGCTTGTACGAGAGGACTACGGACGTGAATTTTATGCGGGCGCTGAAGACGGTGGATCGCCCACAGTTGGACAGTACCTATCATGGAGCCGACGGCAATAGCATGACCAAAAAGGAATGGGTTCATGTGGGCCGCGGACAGTTGGTCAGCAAGGACGGCATTTTTTCATCTCTGTATCTTGCAGACATGACATCTGATCCTATGGATCCGATCTACGAAGCAGACGAGGAATACCAATTCCTATTTCCGAATTTCCGAGGATGGGTCTTCCTCTTCTTGCTGATGATTTCAATGCCTGGCAGTCGGTGTATCAGAATGAAGAAGCGACGAAAGGCTTCCGAGGACTGATTAAGATCGAACAGGAAGTGTTCGAAACGGATGTTTGGCGGAGCTATAAGGCGAAAGCTAAAGGTAACATGAAGTGTTATGTCGTTGCGTTCTTCGACGGCACCAAGGACACTTCGTTACCTCCAGAAAGCAAAGCAATAGCTTTCATGCTGGTGAGCTTTGTGCGAGATACTGGAGCAGATGCGAGGCGGGGTGACTGGATATTTAAAGCCAGAGCTTTGCTCTTTCTAGATGATGGGCAGGGGCACTCGTGAAAAAATTGAACTTGAATCTTGTTGGTTTGTTGTTGGAATCACAGCAGACAACAGAAATACTCAACTCTCTATTGCATTTGACGCACTATGATTTCGGAGTCATCTACGATCTACCAGGTACAGGTTAGACTATAGTGAGACTATTCAACAACCATAAAATTGGGGTGATTCCCCACTCTCGAACACCTTTGCTTATAATGCCGACTGAAAAGAAACATCATCATTAGCCCCAAACCCCCACACCAGTGGTCACAACATGCTGCCTGCTCATGGTACTGCTTCTTCACCTCGCATTTGAAGAAGAAAATGAAAATATGTGAGATGCGCAACAAAATAAGGGCGACTGACTCTGCCTGCGCGATCACCTCTACAGAGAGCTGCGGAGTGGATCTTCCGGAGAGACTCACTCAATGCTGATAATTTAGGGAAATAGTACTTAGATTCCAAACATCATGCGCAACAAGAAGTACTGCCTAGAAGCTCTTCTAAAAGTCTAGTTGATCGAAGATGTTATAGCAGCGCAGTCAGTTCAAGTCCCTGTCCGGAAAAAATGAAGTTCTCGCTGAAAATCCATCTTCTCGTTGTTCCGGTCCTCTACTCCACTACCTTAGTCGATTTTTATGGTTGGGGTAGCAGGACGACTCGTAGAGGGCCACTTTCGACGTCGACGTCGACGTTTTTCGTGAGTGCTTTTCCTCCTAGAGTGCGGATCGTTTCATCTGACCTGCCTGGATGTTGCGACGCCCTTGCAGGGGAGGTCGACGACGAGGCGGTTGTAGCTATGCCTTGGCGGGAGAGTTTGTTATGTCCTGATGGATACTAACTTGGAAAATTCTGTTCCTCTAATAGAAGTTCTTGTGTTATGCTCTTTAATATACTAACTTGTAGAATGACAATGCTTCTTTGATAGTTCTTCTGTGCAGGATCCAAAGAAGATAAGCTAACAACCTCTTCAGTCTGAGAGCTTCTAAGGCCAGAAGTAGGACCTTCGTCATCTTTTCGCAAGATCCAATCCATATCGCATTTTCCACCAACTCTAATTCCGGAGCAGGTGACATTGTGGGATCTCAGACGAGCGATTGCGCAATCACCTTGCTGTGAGAACGCCTCTTACGAAGTGTATCGACCAGATGCGCACTTTAGCCGGATTCGCGGTGGGCCGCTCTTCACAGCAGGTGTCCCGATGCGAGAACACCCCATGCCTAGAGACGCGGTTGATTCGCAAGTGCGGCCTTTCAATATTATGGCTAGTATAACTATCACTATTTTTGCGCGAGGTATCTATCCTGTATGGGTTCTCCTTTGATAAACTCAAGGGGACTTTAAGGTGAGGAAGGAAAGCCACTCGCTCGGCCGCGGAGTGTGCGACTGATCATCTAGCGCTAACAATACAATCGAGGAGGTTACCAATGGTCGTGTATTTGGCCCTGCCTTGTTAGAACTTGGTCTTGCGGCATGGGGCACAGACGATGAGCATAACGCAACGATGGGATGGAACATTGGGGAAACTTATGAAAGTGTATTTATTGTCATGCTGAAATAGAAGACTCAAATCAGATTCAAAAAGTGGAATGATAGATTTGATTCATCAGATTCAAAGGACCCTGTGTTTACTACACTGATGAGTGAAGAACTGTTTTGTGCTTGTTGTGATCATTTGTAAAAATCTCATTTCTGCAAGGATACGAGTGCCGCATTCAGGCGAAGATTTTGAGACTTCCCTTTCATAGCAATCGACCACAGGCAGGTGGTACTGAGGTGATCACTACCGAACGACGTGGGGCTGTAGAAGGGCCTGTCAATGGCGTTGCGGTGGAGCATAACATTAGGGATGCAGTGAAAATGACTTTGCTAAATATATGGGGAACGCTGAGGCGTTCACCTGCGTCAGGACGGTGATTGACTAAAATAGGAGTGCCCCTTCTAGATGGGGTAGAAGTACCTCGAAACTGCACATGAAGTGCTCCCATATCTAACGACGACGACAATAATTTGTTGCAGTCTTTGCGGACAGCGACCAGGGAACGCTGGTTAAGACAGGCTAGGTGATGAGTACTGTGCAGCTTTTGTTTCTACTTGTGAAGTTGTTCGACGAGTGAACTAGATGCTGGCAATCATCTATTATGTCGTGAAAAAGATGCTGATGCTATGATCATTAGTATGTTTGAGAAGTCTTTGGTGGATAGTGTCGCAATATAAGCGAGAGGCTGCCTTGTCAAGGAAGACATTGTCCCTGTTCCAATTTCAAACGTGACTGCTCGGCAAATGCTCCAGATGAACCGACGTTCACGCACTGCCGATCACGTTGAGCAGCCAGCTAGGATCCGCCTGACCCGTTGGCCCTTCTATCCTCGTGCCGCGGAATTTTTAGGCGCCTTGGCTGTCATGGAACGAGATATGGAACGAAGCATCGATGATGCAAGTATCGATGATGCAAGACTCGAATCTTGCGATCATTCTGATGATGGACCCCTGAAGCCAGAACAGAGGAAACGACAAGAAACGCAAGATGAGACGCCACAACATTAAGGGCATTCACATGGAAAGAACAAATTGAAGTCCTCATTTTTGATTGCTACAAAAAGTGTAGCTGATTTATAGGACGTCGCGTGTAGCTTGATTGTTCCCTGTGTGTGGCTTCTACTTCCTGATCAATTTGATTGTTGAGGAAAAGTTGTATCTACGTCAATCATATTCCGAGCGATCATGTGCTCCTCTAACAACAGCGTTCATTGTTACTCCAGCATTTGGAGCAGGCGAAATGCGCAGTGGCTGAGCGCAGGAAGGCCCTGTATGGTGACGATTCTGGATCTGTGGGGTCTCATTTGGAGTGTCAACAGGGTAAGCAGGAAGAAAGAGGGGAATCAGCACAGACGCAAAATTCTGGACAGTCACGTTCTGGACAGACCCTTTCTGGGCAGTCACGTTCTGGACAGCCATCTTCTGTACGCGACTCTTCTGGACAGCCATCTTCTGTACGCGACTCTTCTGGACAGCCATCTAGTGCACAAGCACCTCCTGCGCACGACTCTTCTGGACAGCCATCTAGTGCACAAGCACCTCCTGCGCACGACTCTTATGGACAGCCATCTAGTGCACAAGCACCTCCTGCGCACGACTCTTATGGACCACAGTCATCTGGACAGCCACGTTCTGCGCACGACTCTGTTGTAAGTAATACGAATACTGCATCTCCTTCGTATGAACAGCAGCAATTAGGTTGGCCGATGCGGCGTCTGTTGGGGAGTGGCACAGCAGGTAATAGTGTAGCAAGTAGTTCGTCTCGCGTTATAACAACAGCAACAGCTGACATTGCTGATGCTGGTCGCCGGAAGAATTAAGGGTAGGTTAAAGGTGTTCACGTTGCCGCTTGTTTTGCCTCTCCTAAGGGAGAACGGCAGAACGAACGGGATACAGAAACGCCAAAAGTCTACCTCTAAAAGAAAGAAGCGGCTCGAGCAGCGTCCGTAGTGGCTGCACGAGATACCTACTTCGGGCATGCAAGTGTTTTAGTGCAGGCTTTCACAGGCCTACCGCAAATGTGGGGTGCGCCGAATATAGGGCTTTGCACAAAAATGGAAATCCAAGTTCATACCAGCTCATCTAGCTCAGATTTTTTCGCCGTGTTCAGCTTGTATTCAGAGGAATGATAAGTAGGAAGATGAAATATCCTATTTGGAATGCGTCTAAGAGACAGTCGACGGGAGGTGACTAGCTGGGCACCGGGTCATCATAGAGTAACCCGATTTTCACCCTTACCCGGAGCACCAGCAAACCGAGACCAGAAATTTGGCGAGATCTTTCTCTTGGAAATGGAAGGCAGAACAACTTTACCGCTGCGACGGCAAAAGACAAGAGGACTGCCCGCTACTACTAGAGGGGAGCCAGTGTTAGGAATAGGAGAATAACGGGATCTTTTTTCCTCATTTCCTAGTTTATATTCCCTCCCTCCAAGCTACTGTGTGCATTCAAGACCGCTACGAACACCTAAAAACCCCCATAGTGAATAACAAGTTCTCACTTTTGAGACCTAAGAACCCCCAAGATGAACAACAAGTTCTTACTTTTGAGACCTAAGAACCCCCAAGATGAACAACAAGTTCTTACTTTTCAATGATCAGCGGAGGATGAGACATACCTCTAACGACAGGCGAGTGTCGTATTGGGGCGACGCGACCTAGTGTTGGAGCGACAGGATCTTCCACTGCAGTTTCAGAGGTAGCAGGTGACGACAAGGATGAACAAGCACAAGAAGGACAACTGCAGGACTTGGAAGGGAGAGAGACACAGCCACAAGATGAAGTAGGACAGCACGAGGCACCTGTGAGGGGCCAATCGGGGCCCTGTAGTTCGAGTCCATCAGGCTCTTCTGTGCGACGACGGTTGGGAGCACCTTTGATTTATGCGTCACCATAGAACTTTCAATATTCACCTTGCCAGTTGGAGGTTCTAAATACAAGAATGTCGTCAACCATTCACTGCAAGACACGTATTTTCATCAACGTGAAAGGAGTATCTTTAGGAGTCGATGTGTAAGATACTCCCAGGAATGATCCTTAACAAAGCCGTAGTAGTACTGCCTCAAGAACTTCTAATCATTCCCCCCTGCGCGATCTTTTGTCGATCGTCCGACAGCACGTGATGTGTTAGCTGTTGAGGGACGAGTAGCACTCGGAGATTGGGTTGTGTTTGATGCGCCTGACGCCAACCAGATACATTACCTACAAAATAGTGCTGCTGTGGTTTCACCTCCAACATCAACATCATTCCTAGAGAGGTCCAACGATAGTTTAGGAGACATCAAACGCAGTTCTAGTACCACTGAAGCAGAAAGAAAACACAAGACTACTACTGTGTCTTCACTTGTTGATCGAGATGAAGGTGATCTTCGTGCTGGTCGTAGGGCTGTGGATACTAATCATCGTGCTGCGACGATGCAGGATGGAGATCACAGTTTGCGATCACCAGCAACTTCTAGTACTGGTGGCCACCTACTGGCGAATGCGGTCTCCATGCAGCATTTGTCTACTCCGAGTTCGCGTGTCGATGAAGTAGAAGTTGGAGGTAGAACTAGAAATGAAGAGGCCTTCTCACTACAAACAAACCCAGATGAGCTTGAAGGTGCAACTGGAACAACAACACGTTTGAGCGCGAATGAAGGCACAGTTGCAGTTTCGTCAAGACTTTGGCAGTTAGTCTCGTGTCGCTGGATCGAAGTTCGGCGAGCATGGTTGTGGACGTTGCGACAGGAAGACGCGCAGGAAGTGCGCTATGCACAGGTTTTGTTACGGCAAATTTGTAAGCCTCGTGGTCCTGCACCTGCTCATCAATTAGCTTGCGCTTGTATGATCAGATTTATCTTGCGCGGCTTGTATTATCAGATTTATTTTCATAGATAATTGTTGTAGTCGTATTATCAGATTTATTTTCATAGATTTATTTTCATAGTCGAATTACTATTCTATCATGCTTCATCCTATTCTAAGGCGAGATAGTCCGCCTGGGGAAGCGGGAAGTCGGTTTGCATTGGCGGACTTCTCGAATCGGTTGGAACACTGGCTACACAGGCGACTTGAGAGCGGTCGCCGCACTACGATGTGGAATAGCCGGAGCAATGACGTTAGGGAAGTGGTAGAGCAGATGCACATGCAGGTGAAGCCGAGGACTGAGCTGCCGAGAGGAAGTGAGCAACAGAACAGAAGCATGCAAGGCAATGGAAGCGCTGTGGAGCGGTTGGCGAGAGGAAGTGCTGACCACGGTGCAGTTGGTGCTCAGCCTGCAGTTTCCGGAGAGAGTGATCAATCAGCTAGTCACTCTTTTTTTCGAGTGAGAGGACCGGTCAGAGGAGTTACGAACGAGGTCGGAGAACATCAAGGAGGTGCAGAAGAACAGTTGCTATCTGCAGATACAAGTGCTAGGACAGCAGAGTTTTCGCCATTTTTAGACCGTCCAGAGAATGACAGTTCTTGGGTACCAGCTGGGCAATTAGTATTAAGGGTTTCCGAATTGCATTCCGCACTACCATCCCTAGCTCTTTTCCCAGTAGAAAAGCCAGGGATGTTCTGAGGAATGTATGAAATTCCGCGACCTCTAATAGTAGCCGAGTGGGTGGAGGCGCTGTCAGAGGGAAAATTACGGCCAAGATTCGACCTGGAGCGCGCCGGCGCATTCACCAATGTAGATCTAGCGAAGTTGGCGGCGGCTAGTCGTTCGCTGGCAGCTGAAATGAAGAGTCTTGTGACTTGAGGTTGATGGGGGTTTTAGTTCTGACGAGTCTATTCTAAAACTAGTTCTCCCGTTCTCTAGTGCTAGTAGAGCACTTACAGTTCTGACGAGTCTAAATTCAGTGCTTGAATTAACTAAAACTAGCTCTCTCATGATCATGTTAGACAAAATTATAGACACAACAACGCTCGTAGTACTACAACATGGATATGATTAGAGACATGTCGACAGTCTTGATTCAACATAGATCGTCATAGCATTGATAAAATCGTTGAAGAGAATACGGTCAGGTAGGAGTTAGTACTCATTAAGAATATAGTCCGAGGTAGTGCTGTCAGCATGGAGTTTGTACTGAATGGCAAGCTTTCCTGCAAGATGAAGGTATGCTGAAGGTCTAAAGCTAGTAAAGCATGATGATCATATTAATGTAGTTTGCGAAATTATAGGAGGCATGCTTTTCAAATCTCAACAAGGGTAATTGATAGTTATAAACAACTGATGCGAACTGATCGACAATATTGAAATAAGTACATCGTTGCACTGGAGGTGTCGAGGTCTGAAAATTCGTACAGCATAGAAATACATATAGAACAAGCCGTACACAAGTAGGAACAGACATTTGAAATTCTATTCTGCCTACTTGCGTCAAAGTCAATGATGAGCTGAGTCTGAAATTCTCCTACGGGGGCATCTAGTGCTGTTACAGTGTTGCGAAGATTCAAATGCGAGAAGGCATAATTGATTGCATTACCATTTTTATGTGCTGCAATTATCAGGCAATCTAGTGTCTGCTAGGAAATCTAGTAGGCCCACACCTAACGTAACCTATCAGGCATTATGTGCCTCGATTGTGAGTTGCTATCGACCGCAGCGTGCCGAGGAAGCGTTGTTTTGAGGCTTTTTCATTCGAGATAGAACGCGGTAGAGGGGTAAGCACTTCGCCTGTGCGACTAAAAGATGTGAAAAAGAAAGGGCGTATGAACTAGAAAAGGCCTCGCTGAAGAATCAATTTTTTTGGCAGGAATGTTTTTCAAAAGCGGCCTCGCTTACAGAAATTTCCTTCAAAAACGAATTCCAGTTCTGCATTGTCAAAACCGAATTCTAAATTTAGGCAGAGTCAAGACCGTGCACTGATCAAGCAAGTGTCTCTGACTCGTAAGCAACTTGAACGTAGAGAAACATCCATGGTGAATTTAGTGCCCGCATCGAAATCTCCATGGTGAATTTAGTTCCGACCGCGGTCCGCGTGCCTGAGGGCAGCGCGGATGAATTGCGAGACATTTTCGGCGCCATCGCACAGAAAATTCCGGAACTACCAGCAGCGCAAACCGGAAAGTTATGCATTGATTGTCTTCGTAGCAACTCATACATACTACGCTCTCCTTTGATACGCATTCATTGTGTACGTCGCAGCGTGGCTCAATTTCAGCTTTAATCATGATTCATTTTTGTCGTTGACGTTTTATTTCTAGTAGCAGAATTGTTCTACCTTGTTCATATCACGCTGAGCAGGAAGCTGAAAGGATAAAGATTCTGTCGCACGAAATTTTTCTGCAGTTGGGCAAAAAGCTAGTGCAGGAGCACGGGTTCGGTTGTTACGACCTTGTTGTTAAGGGACCGATTTAGCAATAGCACAGTAAAAAATCAACTACAACATCCTCCAGCACTAACATTTTTGGCTTCTTTTCAAGTACCGGAAAAGAAGGCAGGGATGTTCTTCTGGAGCATACAAACGCACCCTCCTCCAATGTCGGGCCACTATTTCAAGTCGAACTACATCAAGAGTTTCGCAAGAGGGTCGCGGAACTCGAAGCTCAGGATCTGAAGACACAAGACCTGCTAGATGAGGCTCAGGGTGACCTGCTAGATGAGGAAGCGCCAGCGGTGGAAGCAGAGCCGGTCGTCGCAGCAGAAGTGGCTGGTATGAAGAGGATCTAAGGAGATAGAGATACTGAAAGTTATCGTGTATGAAGAGGAGCTAAGAAGATAGAGATACTGAAAGTTATCGTGTATGAAGAGGAGCTAAGAAGATAGAGATACTGAAAGTTATCGTGTATGAAGAGGAGCTAAGAAGGTAGAGATACTGAAAGTTATCGTGTATGAAGAGGAGCTAAGAAGGTAGAGATGCTGAAAGTTCGTGTATGAAGAGGATCTAAGAAGATAGAGATACTGAAAGTTATCGTGTATGAAGAGGATCTAAGAAGGTAAAGCCCATACTGGTCACAAGATGATTTACTCACATAGTTAGAGTCACAGTTAGTTCATATTCCGAGACGACGAAGTGGGGGGACGGGATAATGCGGAGGAAAATGACCGTGAGCAGAGGATACGCGCAGCCATATACGGTGACAAGAAATATAGCATGGTGATGCAGACTGCAAACGGTGACGCGAGGCCAAGTTACTGCACCAAAGCGATGGTCTCGCAGCGGCAAGAGTATTTGTTATTGTCCACTTTCAAAGTTGGCTGGAAACGCTTGTTGTAATCGTATTCTTCACTGTAATAAATATGGTATTCATAGTACCCAAGTTCACACCACTGTCGTAGTGAAGACCTTTACCACATCTATCTTCATCCGCCTATCTCTGACCAGGCGACAACGAGAAGAATATGCTGGACCTGGGATAAAGAGATTAGCTCTGAACATGGAGAACGTCCAAAGGGAGTTTTATCGAATCTTCTCCCACTTCGCTTTAGAGTCAAAGGCGATATATCCAGAGCTTTTCCTTTTTCAAGACGATGTGGAACTGAGGAGCAAGACGGTACTTAGATGAACTCATAACTGTTCTTGTAGACGTAGACCTTAGAACAAGCGACATCACGGCAGAAGCAAGTATCCATAGTATTTGTGCATTTTGCCATTGTCTACCATGACTTTTCAGGCTACTGCTCGTCATCCAAATTACATTCATGGGAACTAAATAAAGTTACAACAACCATTCATCAAGATACAACAACCACCCGAACACAAAAAACCAGCTAGCGCCGATGAACCAAATCTTGATGGGTACAATGTTGCGTTTTCGAGGTGATGTTACGCGTGTCAACGACCCCGTGAGAGGGATGCTGGTGTACCCTGACGCTCCGGCACTATATAATGCCTTGGACATTCTCTTATGAAGGCAAGGAAGAGTTATTTTTTTTGATTGTACTATCACTGCTGGTGCGTGTGCTGTTCAATCATCTCTTACACATTGAATCTCTGCATCAATTTTGTGCCTCATCATTTCTAACCCACATTGAGTTTACTAATTGTACTAGGGAACAATAACTATCAACTTCTTCTTGATACGAATATTAGCCTACGACTACTTCCTAAAGAACTTACTATCACAACTTCTTCTCAATAGCTTCCTTCTAATCCTCGTCCATAAAACACCTAACCTGCGAAAATCTGATTGCTATATCGTCCGCGTCGACGATCCTAATAGTAGGCCTATGCCGTTTGCGAAGAGTCCATCTTCTCCTGGCGGCGATGAGTCGCTGTCTCTGGACAGACCAGATTTTTCGGAGGGGGACACATTCCAACAATTCAACACTTCAATGATGACGAATCGGAGTATAATTTCTGTTTTAAACTACAGTTTGCGAGATTGGTCTTTGAGTTTGAGTTTGTAGGTAGGTACTACTAACTTTGATAGTTGTTTGAGTTTTAAGATGATGATGTTTTGTTCTGGGAAGTGATTCAGAGATCATTACGATGTTGATAGCCTAAAAATGAAGATGAAGGTGGTAGTTTCTTCAGACGACACGCATCAAACAATTGCTAAGAAAGTTGTAAGGTGGTCATCTCATAATTTTTCTTTTTCAGCTACTGGGAGTCAATACGCGACGTTGAGCCGTATGCAGAAAGACAAAGGGCTAGTGCGGAACCCTGTCAGTGGGAGCCGGAGTCAATTCGCACAAAGGGGAGGTGACCCAGTGCCGACGCAGAGTCAACTTGCGAGTACACACCTTAGTATGGATTCGCCACTGGACTCGCCTGGGGATGATGGAGTAGCCCCGTTATGGTGATACTCGTAGTGACAGGAGGAAACTAGTAAGCACCTAGCGGCTGGTTTTCTTCAGTACTACAGTAAAACTAATTTGAGATTGGGTTCAGCGTGATTTTCATATAAGATCCAAAGTGCCTTTTCCTAATAAGAATAAAAATCGAGGCCCTTGCTCTAAAACTGACTACAGAAATAGGATCACCACGCTACTTTGTTGCCGTTCATGTTGTATCAATAGTACCATAATCAACGTTGTATGTGTATATCTGGTTTCAATTTCTTTCATATCACCCACCGGGAGGAGCAGCAATGATGGATGATTTTGGCGGGTCGGGGCAGAAACAGGTTGTCGCCTACGAGCCTTCAGGCGGCGACTTCAAACCGATATCTGTGTATCTGTGCATTTTATGGGAGAAAGAACAGACAGAGACGACGATTTTTTGACTCCTATCTCTCTCCTTTTTAATAAACAACATTGAAGATGAGTTTTCGGATATGAGTAGAGAGGGAGACAAAATTCATCCTCACAACTCACAACTACGAAACCCTCCCTATTGAATAGTATCCAGTCTACTTACATCCCCACCCCACGGCGACGAAGCCTCCTCATAGTACCTCAACCGTCCCTCTTCGGTCCACTTCTCTAAGCATTGCAGTTCACGTCTGCAAGATTACGTTGTATACGGAGCCAGCGTATTTGCAGTTCCATAACGGGGATGCTAAAGACAAAATGCTTGATCTCATGATTCTAGCAGGAACTATGAACGATGAAATCTTAGTCGGAGAGACTTTGGAGGTACATTTTCTTGTTTGTTTGTTTTGATGCGCTCCGGGCGACGCGTACGATCCCGCCGGATTTCTTTGTGCTCTGTGTGGGGTGCATTTTCTGCCTATTTATAAGTTATATGAAATAGGCACGCCATGAATTGAATCGCTTTAATATGGTGTGCATCTTCTTACATTATGTGGTGTTAAAGAACCTGAAGAAATCAGAAGCTGTCCCGTACATCATGACTGCATTTCCACAAGCTTCTATCTACAACTCTTTACAGCTCGTGCACCGTCGCTGGCCAGACGCGGTGACACCAGCATATAACGGAGACGCAGCTCCCACAGTGGTGCACCAAATAGCAGCGAATGGAAATGCAGTGCTTCTCGCAACCATGTTTCAGAAATATCCCAGATTCATGAGGTATTCTACGACTTCATGAGCAGTTGTTATTATCTCCATAGTGTCTAACCGCATCATGACGATGACTGGATTCGAACTTCTTCTCGAAGCTTCTCCGCCAAGTCACCTTCATGGTCTACCACAAACCACAAAAACACTCACTCACTTCAACAGCACAGCACCCAATCCTATCAAATCCCAACATCCTTACTACAGTTCTATGCTGGTGACCCCGGATGCAGGTGGGGCTTTGCCATTCATGGTAGCAGTGTATCACCAACAACTCAAAACGGCTGTGTTGCTGTTTCGAGCCCTAGTGGAACTAGTGAAGCATCACGTTCAAGAAGCGGGCGGTGCTAATGGAGAAGGATTATGTTCAGTGGAGTGTTAGAGTAAGTAATGTGGTAGAAATATTTAAATTTTGGTCCTCGTAGGATTATGGTGAGTCGACGCCTGGAAGAAATGTACTTAGAAATATAACAAGTTTTAGTGGATGAATGTTGGGTAAGGAAACCTTTTTTTTTTATCTTCAAAATCTAAACGTACTAAGCAGGAGTCGCTCAAAATAGAAAGGGAATTGTCAGTAAGGAAAAAATCTAGAGTTCTTTCGCCTCTAAGAATCGCCAAGGGAGCTAATGGAGGGAATATGCATCCGGTGTTGCAGACTCTAGTCGCTTTCCATATGAGGTCAGTCGAACAAGGAGAGGGCGGCCGCAGTCTACCGGATTCGACCGGAAAGAAGGATAAGAATTATGGAAGTTATAACTCTGAATTGAGGTGGACCATCGTTCCGCTAGTAGATGATGTTCCTTTCGATTTTCATGTTAGTGCAAATGAGAGATGCCACATTCCCATCGTTTCTCAGCGAGATGCCCCAAAAAGTCAATGGATTCCCTTTCATTCGTCAAAATCCGCTGGCCGAGAGGAGATAGTGGATTCATCAGGCGTCCTCAGCGAAATGTGGTATTGCGCAGATTTTGTGCTGGACAAGCTGTCACAGGGAACCTTCCCGATGATCCCCATAGAGGAAGACGAAGCGGCTCATGCGGCAAAAGTGAAGAACCTGCAAGAACTGTGGACGCTTTTTGGTTAAGGCATCGATATTGGCTGTTTGGAGGAGGTTAGATGGCAGCTTAGGGAGATGGCAGCTTAGGGAGATATTGTTTGATGGCAGCTTAGGGAGATATTGTTTGATGGCAGCTTAGGGAGATATTGTTTGATGGCAGCTTAGGGAGATATTGTTTGATGGCAGCTTAGGGGAGCTAAGAGTTAATCCCCCTCATTAGGGCCATCTCGGCATTGAATACCTCACCCATCTTCTAACTCCCCGCACTCGGTTTCGGTACCGCGAACAACGATCGCCTGAGTGCTGCAATAGAGTCGGAGTTGCTGCAATTATGCACCTTCTTAGCCTTGATCAAGGCGAGGGACGACCAGAAACGAACTGCGCTTATGCTCGCCTGTCGGAGAAAAACGGCGATTCATGAGGGCATCGTTAAATTCATCTTGTTATGGCCATCCACTCACTTCCTTAAGTAACTTTACTTTATCAATTGACTATGAGGTGCTGCACGACTAGAGCAATAAGTCTACTTGTTTCAAGAACTTCTACCCTAATTCAAGAACGCTGCCGAAATTAGTTCGGATTCTCGCGAAGCCATAAATAGGATTACCTTGCTGGAATAACGCTACAACACCTTCTCACAAGATTGAAGAGTGCAAACCTTCTCCTCTAATCAGAGAACGCGTACCGGATTGTGAGTTGAATGCAGTGGATAGTATGGGGAAATCCGCAGTGGACTACGTAATGGAGTCGTCTTCCACATCGAGTGCGAAGTTGTTGATGGACTACTTAAGGCTAGTTTATATCACTATTCCATGTGGACGATTCTGAGTGAAGTCCCCCGCGATTCAGAGGGGAAAATAAGGGTGAATAAGGGGAACTGACTCAGCCAGGGATAGTGAAAGAATACCTGTAAACCACGCAGCTAAAGACGCGAATGGCCAGGACGTGCTGCTAAGAGCGACATTGGAGAACAACGCACATATTGTGCAGTTCCTGCTCAGCTACCAAGCAAGTTCACAGTCGGCAAATGGTATCGTTGCAAATATACCTTTTTTTTTGTTAGAGTGAGGATGATAAAATACAGTTCGCGTGAGTGACTATATGGTACGTGTTACTTGCTGTAGAAGTACAACACTAGCAGTGCTTCTCAACAAAAAGATCAGTAAAAAAATAACTTTCAACAACAACATACTCATTTGAGTCATGCCTTCACAACTGTTCATCTTTACGTCAACGTCTCTTGTTCTCCCTCAGAAACCGACGCAGCTGGTTGGGCTGCTGGACAGAATCTGTGGCTTCTGCGAAGGGGCGCTCAAGCCCAAGGCACATTTTGCACATGTTTTATTCCAGCGAAATGTCAGGAACTCAAAGTGCGATATCCCCTAATTTTTGGCAGAACCTTTCCTCAGATCAAAAGTCTGGTTAGGGATCCGAACGCAGGCAAAGTGCTGGAAGAGTACTTACTGTACAGATGATGAATTTGAATGAGTATTCAGCTTTAGTACTATGACGTTTAGTCAAGTTAAGTACCCAGCATGGGAACAAGAACAACTCTCCTCTTGTTATAATTAAATGCAGCTACCGATCTCTGTGCGAAAGGCTACAGAAGGAGGAACTGGAACGGAGTGGAAAGAATGTCGCAATCATCGCCATCCCGCAAAATCCGAAGGGCGAATCACTTGGTGCGATGACCGGTTTAGATGGTCTAGTTAAGGTGCCACCTTTTCACTCGTAACGTAAACTTTACTTAACTCGTAACACAAATTTATTTTACTCGACACCTACAGTACTCGACAGTTAGTGGAGTGGACACGACCTCTAATCTAGACATCTTTATGGGCCGCATCCAGTGCTGGATATGCAAGAAGAGGCACACGGGTCATGAGTCGTGGCTTGGACCGGTAGCCTTGACCCTGAAACTAGACGGCGAAGAGGGGAACGAGCAGGATGAGGATAACCTACTATTAAGACTTGAGGTTGAGACAAAGGAAATCTTAGGCACCTTGCCGAATGATCTATTCAAGTCGTGAGCGCTCATTCCCTGCTCGTAGATGAGCATACTCCTATCATATCCTATGCAAGTTATCAAGACTTTAGACGAAGCCAAAGACAATTGATTGTTCGCAAACAAGTGAAAAGGAACACCAAGAAGATCCTAAGAAGATGCTTCTGCTCAACAGCGTGCAGGGTTCTTGAGCATGTCTTTCTCTAACGGGAGCTCAAGCAGATGCAGCGAGGAAGAAGGAGGAGGGTGGAAGCTTCCCGTTCAAGGCAAAGCCGGGAGAACAAGAGGGCGGTCCGCCTGTCTTGCGCTTATTCATGCACCACGCTTGCTGCGTTGGCCTCGAGGAGCATCTGAAAGAAGAATTAAGGCAGATACCATTCATTGAAGGCAGATACCAGCATCTGAAAGCGGAATTAAGAAGCCTAGAGAAGGCTTTTCTGTACCTATCTTGAGTGATACTGAATTAGACTCTGAGTTGTTTTCGTCGAAACATTTGAAATTTGAACTCTTTGCTCTTGGGTAATCAGTACATTCTATTCACAACTCTAAATCAAGCAGCTCGAAAGAACAGTGGTAGTAAGGGTTCGCTGTCGCTTACGATGGGTGGCGGAAGAGGCTCCATACCACCACCGAGAGCGCGTGCGTTGTTGCGGGATGCGCGAGACTTCGAACGCGAGCTAGCGAACGTTCCAGGTGGTGGTGGACGAACGTGGAAGACTAGTCGTTATGCTACCTCTATCTTTTTCAAGTAGAGAATATGATCCAATACAGCTGGGTGACAACTTGTAATTAATATGTTTGTAGTAGGCTTCGTGCTGCCTTTACGCGGCACCGCACTAGTTACATCCAGTGAATATAGCTCGTAGAGTTTCTTGGTTCGTCTTGATGTGGGTCAAAACGATGATACTTTTTCCGCTGCGTAAGAATAATGAAGAACTACACCGTCTTCATTTTACTGTACATGATAGGCTACTGCGCTCTAAGAGTCGGGTCTCGAAAACAGCGGGCTTAAGGCGCCGAGCTACGCTCCTGCCGGTGAAAATTTAGGGAGCCTCAAAGCCGGCGAGTACTCAGTTAGATAAGAGGCTGCTGAGTATCTTCAACGGCACAACTTGAGAGGACTCTCTCGCAACATATGATGTGAATGCCCATACTAGTATACTTCGTTGCGTCTACGGTATCAGTTTTTTACCGTCATGATAAGAAATCAAAAGACGTCTTTTTGAGTGGTTATAAGAAAATTTTCGAATACTAGTGAATACAATGCTTCAACAATGCATAAATTTGTTCCGTGCTCGATGTAGGACGGAAGAAAAATCTGTTTTGTTTTTTTTGTTCTTGATTTTTACTGAATAGCGTGATAATGATATTGTTTTGAGTCTTTCGCACAGAGATCGATCGATGAATTTTAGACTACTAGTCAAGATAAGGCTAGAAATGAATTGTACAGATACCAAAATCGCACTTATTTTTCGCCTCACAGTATCACAGAAATTAAATGAACAAGTAACAGAATATCTATGTCAACAACGCACTCAGGGATCGCATGGAGCCCAGTACTCTCACCTTATGCTGTAAATCAATGTACTTCAAGTTTTTTCGAGCTATTACAACAGGGCATTATTTTTCATTTGCGTCAATGAACATTAGTATCATCCTCATCCGGTTTTTAGTGCTTATTATATCTTCCAATGATATTCAAAAAAGATGCACCATCTTACATAATGGAGCTACCTATGTTTCATCACGCACTGCGTACTACCAGCCTTTTCACGTCAAGCAGAGGCATTATTGACGGGCATGGTGAAGGCTACATGATGTGCTGTCATTATTGAAGTTGCAGGTCTACAGAAAAACTGCACAGATAAACCTCAACCTGGCTACAAGAAAATGTTGCAGGCCAGGATGCATTTGAGAGACAAGACGGACGCCAACAAGCGGTTGTGTTCTAAGATCATCAACTGCTATGATCTTGAACCTTTGCGCGATCATCATACCTGTGAATGATCCCAGGAGTCCCTGAAGCTCTGCGGCTGATAAGTAATCCTTGTGTTGGTACGATGAAGACGTGAGTACGCATTCCGTCTAAGATATGATTTGATAGACAATGCGTGCGCTGGTGAGACTCGACAGAGAATCTGGATTTTACTGTTTCTACTGTTTCTTGTAGTTCTAGCTAGACCGTATAATTGGACACAGCTAATACACCTCGTCAAACTCAGAAGCATACGCAACTCTCCTGCTCCATTAGAAGGCTGGTTTGGTTCAACAACCCTCTTACTTTGTACCATCAAGTACATCCAAAGTAGACAACATCGACAACAACATCCTACGTATCTCTCAACCAAGCCATCACAAGACGAAACAAGATGAAGCTGCTCCACAAGCACAAGAGCGCCTTTCTGTCGTTCGTCTCGTTCCTGGCAACGACGCCTGCTTTGGCTTCTTTTACGGCTTTACCTAAGGTTTCTTTTCAGCTTCTTTAGATTTCTTTTCAGCTTCTTTCGATCGCCAGCAGCATCGCGGACCTTTCCCTCCCATGAGCATAAAGGGAGAGGAAACAGATCCAAGATGCATGCGAAGATGGATTTAGCGATCCCTCTCTGTCGGAGGGTGCACGTTTTCCCTGTGGAAGGCGCATAAATTCCTATCCTACTTATCTTATTCTAATCTTTTTTGTGATGACGAATTTGCTGAACACTGTTTAAAAATCACCTTTCCTTCCGACGCCACGAACCTAGACATCGGAAAGCAGTGCTATCAAGATGCCATTCCTGCGGACAAGCGTTCCAGTGAGTGCGAAAAATGGATGCAACTGCATAAGTTATGTTGGATTTTCTTTTGGTAATTCATTGGTGTACTCAGTTTAGGGTATAGGAAAACGAGAAGTTGACGTAACTGCATAAGTAATGGAGTTTTCATATGGGGTAACTGTTGTACTCAGTTTAGATTATAGGGAAATGACAAGTATTGATGTAACTGCCTAAATTATATTAAAATTTTCTACTTCTGTTTTTTTATGTTTGTTGTACTGAATGTTTAGTTGATGGTTCATTCAGTATAGACACGGAGGGCTCTTTGATAACTGTAATGATCCGCTTCAGAGAACCTCACCTAATGTAATGATGATGTAAACTACTCTGGGCCTGGTCTCAATGCTGATTTGGAAGATCAGATTGGAGACACATGACATGACAAGTAGTTTGTTTCTAACCCTTGCTTGTGAGACCGAATTTGCTGGTGAACGCTGCAAAGGGAGCGCTTTCACGCCGGATGCTGAGGTTTGTGTAAAGCAATGGACGCCAGCCGCTGAACTGACCGATGCCTGCAAAGCTGTGGTTGGGAGTGGCGAAGAAAAAGAGACCAAGGAAGAGGAATTGTCTTATGACTGAACAACGTAGACTTCCTATGATAACTAAATAACTACTCGTGCGTCGTGAACAACGATTATCATTATCATAGACTATATTAATATTTGAGGAAGTAGATTTATCGTGCTGTATTAAGTGCATCTATGTACTTCTCAGTGGGACACTATCTGCAGGGTCCATAACCTATATTATATATAACGCACTAGACTTCGCCGTCGAAATCTGAATGATCTAGATTTTACAGATTTCAACATTCCATGATGTTTTTTTAATCTCTAGCTGCACTCCAACATCTCTCGATTTCTAATTTCTCCCGGAGGCTAAGCGTCGCAGGGCCGCTCGTCGTCGCACTCGGGAAGAAGCGGCCAAGCGCGCTCGTGGCGAGAAGGAAGGAGATAAGAAGAAGAAGACGTCGACCAAGAAGAAGTTAAGGCTTCCTCTAATAATCCATCTTCAGAGAAGGCATCCTAGGAGAGACGTTTTCAAGTGGAAAACGGATTCAGGATGGACCTCAGGATGGATAAGGGTGAGTTCTAAAGAAGGCGACCAAAAAGAAGAAAGCCGCAAAGAAGGACGACTTGTAAATGCGATAACGCATTTCTTACACGCGAATATTCTTGGTGGAGGGGTAAGTGTGGTGAAATGCTGAAGCATGGGGATCCAACTTTGGCTGAGAAGATATTTGAGGAAGTGGGGAGATTGTAGTTGTGGGGGCAATGATTGTGGGGAGCATATGATGTTGTTGAACACTGGTGAAATTTGTGGAAAGTCTGAAAAATAGGGGGGATCATGCGACGGCTTCTGACTGTTTCATATTCATTGTGTTGGTGATGGGCATCTGAATGTGGGGATACACAAGAAGTTTCAGAAATCGACTTCCGACGGGGGTGAAAGAGAGGAGAAATTTTTTAGAGAATCCACAATGATGATGGTTAAAACTCTTCTAGTTCTATCCTGGGATGCATGTAGAACAAGAGAGCGTTGGTGTTTTGGCTTACAGCCTAATCCGGACTAATAGAACGTCCCAGCACCCTGCGCAATATAGTGAAAAACTATAACCGAAAGTCGAAATTTTTCCGGTTCTGGCCTGCACTGATTTAAGAGAAACAACAAAATCTGCTTCAAAGACTCTTCAATTCAGCCATATCAGCATGATTCGGTCTTCACAACGAGCGGCTAAAGAAAATTGGCAAAATTGAGAAAAAGCTTGGGCTTCGGTCATCAATTCGAACAGAAAGTAAAAGTTCTCTGTGATTCTAATCGTGACTCTAAGCGTAATATCATCGGTCGTTACTGCCTCGTGCGACTACTACTTACACTAATATCATCGTTACTGCCTCGTACAACTGATATCATCGGTCGTCGCTAGGCTCTCCCTTGTACAAGTATGCATACTTCTCAGTAACCACTGCTCTCCATCCATATCATGTGAGATCTTCTAGTATCCACATATGATTCATTGCTGTGGTGCCCTTGATGGAACGAGATTCAGAGCGTGCTGTTGGTTAAAATGCCTCTATCCATCACGTTGCAGTGCTAGTGGTTGACAAGCTGTAAATCTAATAATATTTCTTCCCTGTACTACTCTTTCCAAACTTATCCAACATTAGTCGTGTTCAAGAGGAATCGTCCTCGGACTTGTAGTTGTAGTCCAACTTCAACAGTTTTAGTCCAACTCTGATGCACTATCGAAGCATAATCTAAGACTTGTGATTCAATTTTTTCACCTTGTTGATTGCCGTGAAAAAAACATGAGTGGCATTCTCAACTACCAATTCGGCGGGTCGTCTAGCAGCACAGCTGCGAGCTCGTCCTGCGAGATCCGTTCGACGCACAGCTATTTTGTGCAAGAAGACGAGCACGACAACAGCCGGGTGTACACCACTAGCCGCGAGGCCGGTTCCTCCATGGGAAGAAAGACAACAAAGATGATGAGGAAAGGCCCAAGTAGAGAGAAAGACGAGACGAGACGTGACGAGGCGAGACGTCGACAAGGTATTCTTTTCATCACTGTGTAGCTTATACATGAATATACTTGTGTCTAATAAGCAAGAAGACGTCATCTTTGGGAAGATTGATGCACCTTACTGCTCTGTAGAGGTCACTTACACGAATGTACTCTACCTTGTTCATTCTGAAAGAAGTACTAACATGACTTCGATAGGAGAGAAGTTATTCCCTGTTGTACCCATTTTCCTGCAGGTCAACAGGGCAGTCGCGATGGAAACCGCAGGCGACCAGCGAAGACCCTGTTTGCCACGTCTTCGGCTGCGTTACTTCATTCTTGCGGCGTTTCTTTGGTGGCCGGCCGGCAAATGGCTGTTCCGAACGACTCTATCGATAACCTTATGGCAAGTAACAACCTATTTTTGGGATGATGAGGTGGTCATATTGTAGGTGATTTTTCTTTTCCCTCTTTTACGCAAGAAGAGAACAAGCCACATGACCGCCTAGAAGTAAGTAGAACGAACCTCTATTTTTTGATTCTTTTACTTCGCTCTAATTCTTGCAGCGAATGGGTGGGTGGTGAAGCTCAAGACACAAGAGACGAGACCAGCACTTCTCCTGTGTTCACTGGGCACACAGGAAGAAAAACGGATGAGAGTCATGGGCGCCGCAGCACGACTGAGCACACAGAGCATCGGACCGCCAGCGAGGTCCGTCGAAGTAGAACGACCGTCACCGTGGATGAACTAGGGGATTTGCAACTGCTCGACGAGTCGAGGGCCGATGGCGACGCTTTGATGCAAGTGGTGGATGAGAGTGCGCAACAAGATGTAACTGGATATGCATTCTTCACTGACGTAGCGGACGAGCAGGAGGCCATGGAATTCGCCTGGGATGGAGGACCAGCACTGAGGAATCGCCGTGACCCTGGTCGTGCGTCCTCGACATGGAGGTGGACGAACGCGACAGCGGAGTCGTTCATGCAGACGGAGTCAGCCACTAGTAGAGGCAGTGTACCAATAGATGCATTTTCGTCATCGTCCGGAACCAAACCCAAAGGAGACTCGTGCATTGCATACGGCAGCAACGACGAAGCGGCTGAGATCGAGAGGATGCTTAATGGGCGTTTGACATCTAAACTCTATCGAGCTGCGTATCAACATGCTCAAAAGCTTCCGCGCTGCTATTTTCCGGAAGTATACGCACGCGGCAAGCATGCGAGTAGCGTACAGATATCGGAGTACAGCTTGTCGTCATCTACGGATGAGTTTGGCTACTGGAGCGAATGGGTCAAGAATTATGTCTGACATAAGTATACTCATCCCCGTTGTATCCCTCTACAGCACACTCGAGGGAAATTCGCTCTGAACATCCTATGCATAGATTTGACTTCTTGTCGGCTCTAATGTCCGTGGATGCGGTTAAATCCGTACTCTATGGCCGTCAGCCAAACCGAGTTCTACGAGAACTACCAGAAAACTCTAGCGCAAGCCTACCTCATCAGCCGGTACCTTTCTTTCGCAGGTTACGTCATCGCCTTCATAGCGACGAGGCCGTCTGGCATCTTCTTGCAGATCCTGAACTTAGTACTAAGGGACATCATGTTCGAGAAGTCCCCACAAGCTTCTTCATCACAGGCCAAGGAACCAGGCTCTCCGTTCCCATATGGGTCGCTTGCCGTGGAAGACCAGTTGAACAAGGAGATGGAGGTCATCCTGCGTCTCTTTCCAGCAGGTGATCATGATAATGTGATGAAGGTAGTCTGTAAGTACCACGAGATGGTGGTTTCGGAGTTCAAAAGTTAGGGGAAAGTATACGCATTGACATATGGCCTACGTCGTTTCGTCGAGATAGCCTTTCCAATGTACTTGAACGTGGTAGAAAATAAGCCGTGAAGGCATCACTTTCATACTAAATAGATCCTATTAGAAAAGATGCGGCATTCCCATAGGAGGAGATAGCTCAGCCCTCCCCACGACCTCTAACGCAACAAGTGTCAAGGCAAGACAGAGGGACCGGATGGTGATCGCTGCTTGCCGGTGGCACAGGCCGCGGTTGAGGCAAAACTTAACCTGGTGTCCGCCAGTGCCACCCTACAGGACTGCCGCCCGAGCGAATCAGCTCTCTCTTAAGGCAACTATGAAGCCTATTGAGGACTTGAAGACTCAAGCTCGATTGCGTTTGCTTCGTGTGTCAAAATTTATAAGCTTCAGCAGCGCATCCGCATCCTCAGCAGCATGCTTGCTGTCGTTTTTTCCCTTAGTGAAAAGGCCTAATTGTCAACACTACACTCGAGTAGCCGGGAGCTGTCCCGGGTGTTGAAGCTTACTTGCTGGCAGATATCGTATTCTACTTCTGGTTTCATCGCCGGTAACTCTAACTCTCTTTTCTGTCGGGAAAGGGGGTGAGCGCTCGAATGGACTGGCAGGGAGATTCACGAGGCACTCTGAAGAGCACAGTACGTGATATCCTAGAAGAGATGCCAAGTTAAGACTCCGAGGCCCCCTACAAGATCTTCTCTTTGTATTTACCTAAGGGATTAGGAACAAGTACTTTGTCGTAGTGATGTCTACGTTTCAAATTTGGCTGTCATACCACTGCCTCTCTGTCACTTATGAAATCGAGACGATGCTTATGCACTCAGACAGTTAATTAGTGAATCACGAATGCTGTTGGCTCTAATCGCAGGCGGCTGTAGCTCAAACTTCAGATGTAGAGCAGTCTGCTCAGCTACAAACAAGTACTGACGACGTAGTACGCAGTATCATGGGGGTGTTTGACGAGAAAGCGTATGCGGGCGCTGAACTTCAGCTGGTAGTAGTTGGCGGCAGTGGGAAAGTGCGTAGCGGCATGAATAGTAGACGACCAGTAGAGCTAGAGCGGATATATTTTTCTCTTCCATTCGGTGAACCATCATTTGGCGCGGATACGGATGGGGGTGTATTTCTGACGACATGCAAGCTCCTGATGAATCAAGTTGGCGCTGACTCGAAAGTCCATTCAGAGGAGGAAAGCAAACAGGCAGAGACGCTGACTGGAGATGAGAGTACCCTCACGAAAGATTTGAGGCAGCACTTCAAGAATTATCTGCAGACGGTGCAACGGCTGGACCTGTACCCAAGACAAGACTGGCATGTATGCATACACGTTTGAAAAACACGCACTCGCAACATTTTCTGTTGTTGAGGAGAGAGATGTTATATTTACAGGGTAGATTTTTACAACGTATCTAATCGTCTACTACTTTCTCGTGGTCATGTTGTAGTGTCTTTTTGGAGTGAGTCTCCTTATTGCCCGCACAATCTCTTTTCCCATGAGTTCCATCAATCTGTGAACAAAGACTCTTGGCAACTTGGAATGGCGCAGATTCACTGAGTGTAGATGCTCCTCTTTTTGTCTGAAAGGTAATCTGGTACGGAATTGAGGATCCTACGTACTACCCATCCCTCGAGTAGACAAGGAGATTATAGGTGTTGTAGCAGGTGCGTCCAATAGACAAAGACGCATAGAGTGAGATAGATCTAGGTCTATTCTTATTTTTGACTAGGAGGCGTCCATAATGTGCTCTAAGAAGTAATTTTTACGACGACAAGCAGTTTCGGATTCTGCCGCCGCCCGTGTTTGATGCAGAGAACAGACCAGCAGCTACGTCGTCGGGAATGCACATTTTGCGCCTAGCGGAAAATGCGGACCAAGCAGAAAAACGACTAGAGGTTTTGCGCAACTGGTACAAGAAGCTGAAGGAGATTGTTACTAAGAGTGGGATCTTCGACGGCAAAAAGGAACAGGTTGGAGATGAATAGTGACTTGTTGAAATATTGAAAATAACAGAGTTAGAGAAAATGGGTTCAAAGCAATGATGGGTTCTTTTACTATTTGCATCCTCTTCCTTCATTTTTGTGAATCAGGACCTCGTGTGGACCTTCTAGAGAAAAAATCGCACACAAGGAACGAAAGAAGTTGAGTACCTTTTTTCATGATTTGCGACACTCTTGTCTTATTCAGGTCGGCCTCTCCAAGGCTACGGCCGGGTCTACGCTTGGCGATCCGGCAGCGCTGTCTCATTATGTTTGGCTTCTTTTGCAGTGAATAAGAAAATAGAGTGATTTGGAATGTTCTTTGTCGGTCTTTATCTCTGTTTGTTCCGTCGGCGTGACAACATTATCAATTGGCTCAAGGGATGCAATTCGGCCGCATATCGATAGGTCTGCACTTGTGTGCGGGTTCAGGCTAGCGCTCAAGGCCGATAGAATTTCGACTTTCGTGCATATATTTTTTGAGCTTAGTGCTCCTCTTAGAACATGAGTTGAAGGCGTTCACCTGCTAGCCTCATTACAATATGTCTTCGTAATGATTCCATAAATTGAGTCATGATCTTGTTCTTCTTGTTCGTTAATCGCTAACTCATCCATGGGTATTGTCAGGTCTACGTCCTTGACAAAAAATAATGAGAAAGTTTGATCCAGACCCTCCCGGATTATCTTGTTGATGTGTCCTACCTTTCTTCATGATGAGAAGCCGGGGACGAGCAGCAGCAGCAGCACTTCAGCGCTCGAGGTGGCCGCTTCCGGCACAACGAGTATCCAACCTCACGACGCCACTGCTGCAACCGATATCACTGCGGATTCCTCGTCCGACGCGCATTATGGCTGGCTGACTAATTGGGTGTCTAATCAGTGCGTGGCAACGTAGTTTCAAGATTCTAAGTGAGTAGAAAATTACAATGAGTTAGTTCATCTTTGAACAGGTTCCTTGCTGGTTTCCACATCATTTCATAAGGAATGGCAGTACCAGAGTAAGTGGTGAATCATATCTCCGAGAAACCAAAGGAATGAAAAACCTCTATCAATGTGGACAATGAGTTGTAGTTCGACTGTTAGTTATTTTCCAAGCAGTTTCACCAGTGAATACTCTAACATTCTGATCGCACCGGCAACGGCGATTCGGCCACTCAGTCCCGTTTTACGGCATCCGCGGATTTTCTCGCCGACCCCTTGCATCAGTAAGGAGCATCAACATCAAGGAAGACCACCTGTAGTAGGGACATCAACATCAAGAAAAAATAACACAAACGAATATGAAAAGAAGTTTAGAAGATGTTAGTGTAGGGGTATTGACCTACAGAGAAAAAGTCCTTGTGTATTTTTGGAGAATGAATATCAACAAAAGCAGCTACTTGCAAAGATAGATGTTTGTTGTCACCTGTAAGAGATTGATAACTAGAACTTGATTTATTAGCGTAGGCATGGGGAGAAGTACTAAAACTACCAGGCAGAGAACTAATAGCTTGTACTAGTCAGAGTCGTGCGAATATGCTAATATCAGCATTCGGCTGATCACGTCCTCGAGTAGTAAATAGGAGGCTTTGCTATTTCAGACGGTTAATGACTCGCCACAGATATTTTCTTGTTGAAGTGAAGATATATTTACTTACTAAAAGTTAGAACTGAAGAATAAGTGTCTTCTCATGTTTTCAAGGAATTCAATATCTCTTTTGTCTACGGTCTACCTGAATATAGAAGAACTAGAG